GTGCAAATGATCGGTTATCAACTTATGGGTCAGCTGGGAAAAAAAAAAAAAGTTAAAGTAAGGGCACTAAAATTAAATCGCGTTGCGGCAAAAGTTTCTGGGATGCTCCGCGTCGTGAGAGCGATCTTTCCCCCTCTCCACTACAGCTAATCCTGCATGCAGGCGCATGTGAACTGCGTCAATTGTCCCAGCAAATGATTGCCCTGGCTTGTTTTTAATCTCTACATCCCTTCCTGGTTGATCAGAAAATTACCTCTTGAATCACGCGAACCTCTCTAGAGTGCTGATACAGCACCTCATGGCGTTATATCTTATCTAGTGGTAGGTTCGCGTCGTTGTTTCATCTTCCGTCTCTCCGGGATCATGCATTAACCACACCACCAGTTCCTTTCAAGATTGGGGAACACAGGGCTTTTCCAATCATGCTTGCTTCTCTTCTTCGCCCAAAGAAACGTCGAGTGTACGCAGAACGTTCTCCATTTTCGTCACCCTACACGACCCGGGATTTGCCATGGCCGTTCCTTCAGCGTGGCTCCGAAGCGCAGTATGAGGAGATACCTGGGAATGATGAGGCTGATGAGGCTGTCGACGATGGGGAAGAAGATGAAAGCGGGGATGAGGACGATGGTCCTTTCGAGTCCAGTCCCCTTCTGCCCATCTTCTCAGCCTCTCACTTAGGTATTTATCATTTTGTACTCCCCGAACGAAAGATCGTCTGAGTTGTCTGACTGGTGGCCGTTTCGTTATGTATAGACACGCTCCCCGTTTACGATATCACCCATGCGATTCGCGCACTTATCGCAGCTCGCTGCGAGACCACGTTATCCTGGGACCAGTTGCGGTCGCCCCAGATCTCTCAGTTTCTGGTAAAACCAATCCAGCAACAAATTAGAGCATTTCACTTTTCTCGGGCCACACTATATGCGTTGTTGACCAATTGTTTGCAATTCAACAAAGAAGTCCACCTCAACCCCGGTAATAGTGGCACAAGCCAGACCAGGGCCATGGTGAGTGAGCTTCTTGCCATAAAGTTACTGAGAGAATATACCACGAGAGAGTTGATCGATGCTCTCTCTTATGAGTTTTTTCCTCTCCAGGGCCAGTCGTTGCCCGGGGATTCCCAACAACCCCCGGGCTGGACTCCTGCTGCGGGGAACAAGCGGCCTGGGGTAGCCCGCATTTCTTGCCTCGAGATCGCGATCCGTGCCCAAGCGAAGCGGTTCCTGTCTCACCCGCTTGTTGTACAACAGCTGGAAGCGATCTGGGCGGGCACCATCGTTTTCCATTCGGCCGCAGACTATCTTCATCGCTCACCGACACGACTCGGTCAGAGTTCAGGGCCGACGTATGGTACCACCGTTACTGCTACCACCCCCAACCCGTTTGCCGGCAATCTAAGCCCCGGATCGGCTGAGCTGCGCCGCTCAGTCACTCTCTATGACCCGAGAGATGCCTCTCTGTTTAAACTCTCTAGGTTGAGGGTTCCTCGCTATAGACAGTTTCTCTCGACGCTGTCGTTTGCTGTATTACTGGCATTGTTCCTCGCAGTTCTAGACCGGCGGCGTGTGCACATTAGTGCCCTAGAGGTTGTCTTCTGGTTTTGGAGCGCAGGCTTCATGCTTGATGAGATTGTTGGTTTTAACGAACAGGGCTTCAGCCTGTATCTCATGAGCTTTTGGAACTTGTTCGACCTCGGTATATTGTTTCTTCTTTTCTGCTACTATTGCCTGCGGCTGTATGGTGCTTTCATGCCATTCACCCGTAAGCAAGCAGTCGCCGATCAGGCGTATGATATCCTGGCTGCCAACGCTGTCCTCCTCTTCCCTCGACTTTTCTCGATCCTGGACCACTACCGCTACTTTTCACAGCTGCTTATCGCGTTCAGGATCATGGCTTCCGACCTGGTAGCCGTCTTTTTCTTGATTATAATTGCATGCAGTGGCTTCTTTGTCGCTTTTACATTGTCCTTCGGCAGTGGCGAAGATCGTTCGCCTGGATCCATAGCGTATGCCTTGTTTCAGATGCTGATGGGGTTCACGCCGACTGCATGGGCACTCTGGAATGATTACAATACGCTGGGGAAGACAATATTGACTGTGTTCTTGTTCATCTGTCATTTTGTTGTTGTGACCATTCTAATCACTGTTCTCACTAACTCCTTCATGGGTATTGTACAGAATGCCAACCAAGAACATCAGTTTTTGTTTGCTGTCAACGCCATCTCCATGGTTAAGTCGGATGCTCTTTTCTCTTATGTGGCGCCGACTAACATCATCGCTTGGTTAATAACACCTTTCCGTTATGTGATGCCCTTCAGACAATTTGTACGCGTCAACCGTACAATTATTAAGATCACGCACCTGCCCATTCTATTCACCATCTGCTTCTACGAGAAAACGATCCTCAGCTCCAAAGTGATCGAACCTACAGACCTGGTTGATTCTCAAACTCGCGCCGGCACATCGGCCCGCACACGTGGCCCTCAGCATAGTCGCTTCAAGGCTTTCAGTTCTAATGCCCCTCGACTTGTTCGGGAACCCTCTGTGGCAACTTATCAGAAGGATCGTGCGTTGGAAGAGGTCTTTCGACGCCCGTTTCACGGAGAGGCCATGGAGCCTGTAAGGGAGATGGATCAAAGAAAGACCAACAAAATCGTCAAAAATTGGATGCAAACCATGGGTCCTGGTCCGGCCAACCCTCCTGATGAGCAGGACTCGGACGAAGTTAGCCAGCTCGAAAAAAGACCCCACAGGCCACGGCACCCTTCCCGCAGAAGACTCACCCGGAGTTTACGAGATTTCACCGTGTCAAGCCGCTCTGTTGTGTCAAATCCCGAAGATCACGTCGCGTATATTGCATCCTCACCAGCCACTCCCCGTGCCGGAAGGGATTTCATGGCGTCGACGCGAAGACGGCAGCTTTCGCGACACACAGGCATGGAAGGGGATGATGAGCTCACTAGCGACGGTCATGAAGACCAGTCGAATGGAAAAAGCTCTGGCGATGAAAGTATTCCCCAAAATGAGAGCCCCGGTAAAGCAACACCAAAATTTTACAGCTCTCGGCCATCAACAGCGAAAGTCAAGTCGCGGAGAAACAGTCCCGCCCGGCGCGTTAAGCATCATTCACGGAGTTACTCAGGCGCCACCATGCTATACAGGCCCTTATCCACCACGAGCAATGGTGAAGAAACCGAAGCACCATCGACCCCTGTCAGACCCAGAGCAGAGACACCGAATCACGCGGAATGGATGGCTAGGTCTACTTCTGCTGACCGATGGGCAAGGAGAAGGCACAGTACTGACGGTCGGAGTCGAAATGTTACTATGCCCATCTCGAATCCCATGTCTGTACCGGAATTCGGCCACTTTTTGGTTCCTGGTCCGCGATATAGGGAGCGGGGGCCAGATTCCATTCTCCATGGCTTAGGCTCTGACATAGGAGACAACAAGGCGATCGCGAATGTCTTTGTCGGAGGCGCTCCTTCAAGTCTGACTACCCAGATGGCATATGTGACGGGTGGTATGCGCCGGCCAGATAGCTCTCACAGTAGCCAGGATATGCTCAGCAAGCTCGTGCTTGCCCGGATGAACAATATTGAGGAAGGGTTCCGCGAAGTGATCAGAGAGATGAAAGATCTCCGGCGTGAAGGTACGAGCCGAAGTCAGAGTGGACCTGATGAGTCCAAAGGAAATCAGCGCGAAAAGAAGCGCACAGAGAAGAAGGGGAAGAAGGCACATCCTAGGCCTCGAAGAAGCAAGACCGGCAGTGAGGAGCAGTCGTCAGATGCGATGTCTGATACCTCGCAACGGAGGATTATAAGATAAGCGTTGGTTTTGAGAATTCGGTGTTTCGCTTCTTGTTTTTCTATGCAATACCTTTCTATTATATATTTGTGATGTATGCTACTTTGTTCTCCAGCCCTGCTGTGTAAAAATATTGGGTGGCTGTTTCATAGTTGGATTCAACTTGCAATTTTGATACCCGATGTTTCCCCATACACAATTGAGAAACTATCTGCCCACAGGCACCGTATTTTCTATGTAAACAGTAACCCTTTCCCAACTCCCACCTCCCAATCCTGGCGGTTCTCTAACAGTCCTTCCCCCTGAGGCCCATGTTCATTCGTCCTACCTTTCAATACGTTTCGCTTTTTCTCTAAGCTTATATGGATGCCACGGTCATCCTCCCCAGAGATACCGCAAGACGGACCAAGCGCCGCCGCCGACACTCATCACGGCACGATTCTGGATCTAACTCAGACAATTGTCGATGCAGTTAGTCTGGTATCCAGAAGATAATGGAACAGAGACAAAAAGCGGAAAGGAGTTCTTATGGCCGGCTAAATATGGCACCATATTTGTTCTGGGACTGACAGGTAGTTATCCTGCAATTTATCTCTGAATCGTCGTCTCTGGTGAATAAAGGGCTTTTTGATTTGATATCGGGTTGAGTTTAGCATCTATCCTCAGGCACCTCAAGAAACTCTATGAGGCATTGAACGGGGCTTAGATCATACGGCGATAACATCTGCATAATTCCATCCTCATCACCTTGACGTCAAGGAAGGATAGTGACAGCATCTTTCGTAACCTTTTGCATGTGTAAGCTAACATCTTGAACCTTCTTGGGCTGAGCTGTAAGTGGGACTCTAGACAAACGCACATGTGAACTTGCACAGGACCCTTTTCTACGCCCAACAGATATCCGACTGATGAGACAGTAAGGTATGTAATATTAATTTCCACAAGGAACATCTCATGAGCCTATTGTGGGAAACTGGAAAGGCATTTAGGCTACTCTATCCCGTGTTCCTAATGATTGTCTTACCTGGCTGGTATTGCTCGTATGACCGACTGTGATCTATTAGCTAACCCTCTATCAATAGACACACTGAAAAATTTCTCAAGCGACTCTTGATACGCCCCAGCTACCTTGTTATCATACTAGAAGCTTTTCAAATCAACACGTGTGGAGGAGCTCTAGGGAAGCATACAACAATGGACGATTCTTCCGGGCTGTCAGCGGGCTCAAGGGCATATCCCCCAAGATTAATGCATCCTCCCTCACCATGCACAAATATTGATAGTCCTTGTTCAACATTACTTCTCCTTGGCGATGCAGACACGCTGCTGTATATTGATCCTCCCCCGCAGAAATCATACGCCTCAGCCTTGCCACGCTCACCTGGGTCAATCCCCCACCGGATTCATAGCCAGAAACTTCTGGATACTAACTCTAATTACTTTAAGAACCTCTTCCAGCCAAGGGCTCAAGCTCGGACGATCAGTCGCCGCGGACTCGAAGGCAAGCTTACAAATGGGATTAAATACGTCATTGATCTCACTCCTCCTGCGGTGGAAGACGATGCTGTCATATTTCTCACAGAGCTATCGTGCCCTGTAGGGATCAGGAACTGGGCCAACACTACTACGGCTTGGTGGGATTTACCCCCTGTCCACGTTAGTGGTGAAGATGAAGTCAAGCCACCAGAAAGCAAGCCGAGTCTTCCTGTGGAATACTCGGTGGGTCGACACCATAGGGGTATTGAACAAATTATATATGCTTTGGAAGGGTTTCCACCCAAGTTCGACACCCCTTGCGAGTTCTGGACCTTCTTCTCACTGGCTAGACTGTTCGGAGTATCCACTGTACCAAAAATTAGGGATCTCATATTATCCTGGTTTTACAACCCGAAGAATGCCCGTCTCATAGAATACCGCCCCGAGATTGCGTACAAAATCGCCTGTGGGGTACAACATTACTATCTTTGCCGTGACTCATTTTCGATCCTTGTTGGGGAGGAGACACTGCTTTTATTAGCGAATTCAGATCAACCACCTTTACCAGGTAGACCGCAATGGACCTTTCATGAGCGTTTCCGGGAGCCATTGTTGGACGACGAGGAGCTCCAACGCATCGAATATGCTAGCAAAAGCTTTCTAGAATATGTTATTGATCGATTTGTCGTTCTAGCAGGCTCTGAGATGAAATGGCTTTTCGAATTGTCAAGCTTTCTGCACCTATCAAAGTTCACTCCAGAAACATATTGGGAGGAAATTCTCATGACCGAACTCATCCTGACCTGCAAGGAGTATGTCCGAGCACGTATCGTGCAATGGTTGGAGAGAGAAAATGGTATTTCGCTACCAGCGGTGGTTGGGAGTATGGGTCAGGATCGTTCGATACACTACAAGTACGCCTATAGCTCAATGCGCTACCCAGAGCGCGTATTGACTAGGACATTCTGGAAGAACCTCATGAACGAACCATTTACTGGAAGCCATTTTTCGGATATTAAGGAGTCGTTTTGGGATTCTACCATTGCCAGTTTGGGAGATTGGGTACCAGCTTTCAGGGCCCATGCCGACGCGAAAATCAGGCCGGTGACACGAAGTGAGCTATGTCAGATGGTGGGTAAATTCAACTCTTTTGTGAACCACCAGATTCCCAATTCCCAAACACAACCAGGGTACCCCTGGAATATGGAGGACAACTGTGACCCAGAGACCTGGTTACGCGGGTTACAATCAAATAGTGAAGGCCCATTCAAACTGGACATGTTCATATCAGATGTACAGCTACATGTGGCTAAGTGCGCAAGTGACATGTTTGAGCTGGACAGAGGCTCGACCGAGAGAACCGACATTGTTACCTGTCTAACCGAAAATGAACTCAGATATCTACCATTATGGGCAGGGGGGAATGACGATGGAACTGGAGGGGTCTTCATGGACCAAGATATCCCCTTCTTAGAAACAGGGGGTTTCTCTGCGCCGGGTCCGGATGTCCACTTAGGTAGTGCAGCGTCAACCGCCGATTCAATCTCGATCATCAACACTAAAGAAATAGAGAGTACCGTCCAAGGTGCTTCTCACGGGACCACTGTTGGTTATAGAACAGAAGCCATGTCTATACAATCAATAGCTGCTGGTTCTCAGAGAGACAAGAGTGGAGGCAGCAGTCACCAAGGGCCAGCATCGCTTGAAGACCACGAAGCAGTTGACGACTGCTCCTTCCTGTTGAATTCATCGGCCGACGACGACGATGATTTCTCTCTTGACTGTGATAGCGATGGCGATGACACTGTCGTTATGGACACTACTTGAGTAATTTTGAGGAAATGGATTTGAACGAGGCTTGTCTTAAGTCTTGCGCCTGCGAAAAGATAACACAACTTGCGGAAATACTCGGTAATAATTTTTGGAAGTATTCTGTACATTAGTGGCCACAGTTTCTCATAAGTAATGGGAACAATGAGAATCTTTACGTATTGTCTGCTTTCTGTAGGAAAGGCATAGAATAGGATCTATTTCCACGTGACAAAATCCGGGGTTCTTGGCGCGCCGACGTCACGGCATTGTGATTATCGACATCTCCGTTTTCTTTTTACTTACAACCTTATCTCCACTAGGCGCCCACCAAATTTCCTGGGCCGGCGAATAAGTCATTGGTGTACTTTTTCACTCATTCTTTCCAGTGTAGTCTCCCTTATCTTTCTGTCGTACTCCGTGACAGAAAAAGCAGTCACTATGGCCTCATCCTCAAAGCCCCCGAGCTTCCTGCTCTAGTATGTCTATAACCCACCTACCGCACAATCTCATAACCATCCTCAATTTAAGACTAACATATCAAACAATCTGTAGCACTTGCATAGCCCACCGCACCACAATCCTCGCAGAGCACTCCTCCCCAGGAACTTCGTCAACATCCGCCTCCTCTCTCGCCTCCATCATTCTCCCCAAAATCATGCACGAGAAATCGCAAAAGCTTACCTACACTCATGAACGCCTCTTCGTGCACTATATCGCCGACTCTCCCACGGGGGCGAGCGACGATGCCAGCTCCCGCCAGGAACCCAACTCCTACGCTCCGCTAAGCTACATCGTAGTCGCGACCGCCGAACAGGGCCGTCGCATCCCATTCGCTTTTCTTCTCGAAATGAAACGCAAGTTCCTATCCACCTACCCACCCTCCAGCACTGATTTCGCCGCCCTCCCGGCCTACGGCTGCGCCGCGTTCAACAACGAACTGCGCTCCTTACTGCAGACGTATAATACGGCCCCGCCGTCGGACTCGCTCGCCTCAGCCCGCAGAGAAATTGATAGTGTGAGAGATATCATGACGGAGAATATCGAGCGAGTGCTGGAGCGTGGAGAGAGGATTGATCTGCTTGTTGATAAGACGGATCGATTGGGTGGGAGTGCGCACGATTTTCGCATTCGGAGTCGGGGTTTAAGGAGGCGGATGTGGTGGAAGAATATCAAGTTGATGGTGCTTTTGGGGGTGGTGATTGTTTTCCTACTGTATCTGTTCATTGGGATAGGGTGTGGACTACCGGCTTGGGGGAAGTGTGTTGGTCATAGTGAGTGAGTGAGTGGGAAGTGCTCTTTTTGGCCGGTCTGATCTAGCCGTGATGGTTCCCGCTGCTGCGTACGGGATGGGATGTCGGAGATTCACTGCGTTCGGGGACAATAAATTGTCGGCTCAGATTATCACTCGGGGCTTTACGATGCCATTCACGATTGTTTGTTCTTTTAGCACAGTTTCTCTTCTTGTACTATTACACCTGGTACTTCTACACATAATCCATTCATTTTCCTTTTCCAGGACAACGTGCAGTGTTTAGATATAATGAAACTGAACAATTGACGTAACATTCGTACGGACAATATATATTTACCCTTGCAAACACGAGTACACCAAATCCTTTACATATACTACCCGAATCAAGGGACGTGGGAGAAAAAGATGAAATAAATTCAAATAATATTGGTTCAGACAACTATAACAAACCAGGCGATAGAAGCCAAGCTTACTTCTTACAATGTAATGTGTCTCACTCTCAAACTCGCAGCTTCCTAGCCAACGCATCAGTGCGAGTCTGCAAGCAAGGCAGATCAACCTCTGGTTTTACCAGATTTAGGTTGCTGCAATTCCTTCTGCGCCATCCGTTTACCTCTTCAACCACTGATCCGCCAGAGACGGGATTGATAAGGAGATAATGTGGCGCTAAATAGGGGAAAGTCTTGGGGAAAGGAGAGGGATAGAGTTTTGCTTTGCTAAGCATGTAGCAGTCATCGGATCAATGTCCGATGGACAATATTGGAAAAGGGGGCAGAGGGAAGATTCAGCGATAAACTGCATCGAGATGTACTCATCAGATGCGGCTATAGCCTGACAAGGGATATGCCCAATGTACAGAGTACGCCGGTCTCTTGAGAAAGATAAGACAGAAGCCTGGTCATAATAGCTTTATTGTGTCTCCTTTCGAGTATCACATGTACTCCCACGCCAAATCACCCAGGTGCAACACAGCAGACGAAACGCAGTTCTCCTAAGCATTGGCAACTTCACGTCCCTTTGCGACACACCCCAGGATCTGCTCGCAGTCATTACCGAGCTTGAGCTTGGAGATGTTGCCCATGGAGGGATGAATACAATCTTGTGTGGACTTTGAACCCACTTCAAGATAGGATGATCTTGCCATTATGGGCCATGTTGGAACTGTAATGGTAGCCAAAGCTTCAAAAGTCAACAAAATGAACTGTCAGACCATATTCCTGGATTGATGGTCATCTTCTTGAGCCTCCATTGGTGATCTGAACCGGGCTCTGGGTTGTTGTGGGTGAAACGCGATCGTGGTCAGTCGTCAGGGGAAGATGTGCGCCAGCGCTAATGTGCGTCACATGACATGGCGTAGGGTTTGGTATTGGCTGAGGTGGGACCAGAAACTAACGGCTCTTCAACAGGTTCAGGTTACAAGGTTGACCGCCCAAGAGAGGTACCGCCTGCGCGCTTCTACCCTTACATGTGTTTTTCAGCCACTGGGATCAAAATGGTAGGCGGTGGAGATGAACACCGGAAAGTAGAAGTCATCGCGTCCCATTATTGGAAGATCATCGCGATGCGCGACAGAATCATTTTATACTGATATCGAATGGTGTTTGGCACGCCTACCCTCAATTATTTTTCAAGTCAAAGTGACCACCTTTCCGACGAATGCACATGATCTCCCATTGTTACGACTTTCGTCATGCTGAGATACCAATAGTGCTTTAATTGAGGATAACAGCGTGGCGTTAGTTGTTCAAAATGTCAAACGATGGATATGACTGGCTTTTAAATAATCCACGACCAGATTTATATCACATTGACCACAGATATGAACCTGCGTCTGGACTGGCACAAAGAGACCCGGCTCCATATGTCGGTGTGCCGCCAGCATTACAAGCTTCTATAGCAAATACTTCCGCCTACCTTCACTCCCCGTTTCCTCCAACCAACCAGGACTATATGAGAACAGATGTTCCCTATGCAAATCCCACTGCTCAGTATCAGCCTGCCGTTTCTATGCCAGGTTATTACCAGGGACAGCCGCCTTACTCTACACCGTCAACCGCTCCAGTGACCTCCCAAGGACAAGTTTCTCACCTGCCCCTCACAGATTCCACCATTCCATGGAAATCATACACACCCAGAAAGTCAAATGATGGCCATGATACGAAAAGGCGCCGTACAGACACTTCTATGCCATCAAACCAGCCCAGCGTGATATCTACAGTCACTCCCGCCACGTCGAAGCCGGCCTCAAAAGAAAATATCTCGTCCTTCTCCTTCAGCCCCCGTGATACTACAGACAGATCATTCCTCAAGAACCGCATGGATATCGTCAAACCCCTTAGCAAGGTAGATGCTGCTGTAAAACTCAGTTATGACCCGCGGACGATCGCCAGAGATGTGTTAATCGCATCCGGGCGACATCCAACGGAACCGGCATTAAACCATCACCTCGTTCGCTTGCGCGATATTTTCCTCTATGTCGATAACTCATCCGACTTGGAAACCTTCCGCTGGGATATGGTCGATATGCAGCGTGTAAATAAGTCACGTGACTCACCTCTGGCGCCGATGCAAGGTTCCGCTCCGCCAAAGGAACCGTCATTACAGGGTACACCCGCGCCAACCATACAAACACAAAGCCAACCCACGCAACAACAACCACTTCCACCGCCACCGCCGTCTCAAGTGCAACACCTCAGTCAACAACACTCAGAAACCACAGACCGAATTCAAGCACAGTCGCCAGTGCCGACGAAACCCCGGGCTTTGCACAAACCCGTAGTACAGGTACCGACAAGAAGTCCAAGTATTCAGTCGGGGAAGATGGCTGGGAGGAGACCTGGGAGGCCGCCGGGACGTCCTCCGGGACGGCCTCCAGGACGGCCCCCAGGGACCTCAAAAATCCAGATGGTGGCTCCGTCCGCTCCCGCTACCCCGGTTCCTTATCAGGTTTATTCCTGCGAATGGGACACCTGTAACGCTGAACTTCATAACCTGGAAATGCTCGCAAAACATATTTACAAAGTGCACGTACCGTATGCCCTCACCTGTGGATGGAAGGGCTGCACCTGCGATGACAAGTTCCCTGCAGCCGAACTAGTGAAGCACATTCGAGGTGCTCATCTTGATCCCATTGCCTGGAAGTTAGGTGATGGACCATCAGTGCCTGGAACTGGTGAGAAAGCATCTGGCTGATTCCTTTTCAACGTGATCTTTGATCTAGAAGATTGACTATTAATACTTGATTTATGATTTTAGTTCAAGGTACAGCTGGCCACAGCCCGGTTCCTTCGACTATCCCAGAGTCCCATATAGCGGGCGGCGAGGACTCACTTATTTTTCCAGCTCATCAAACTTCAATCCGAGCATTTAATCTCGTGCATGGGCATAATACACAGCGTGACAAGGCCCAGGGAATCTTCAAGGCGGTCCAGAGGCTCAAAGAACAGATTGGTGTTGGGTTGGATCCCGGCGGATGTCAGTTGGCTACTCCCGCCCGGAATGAGAGAGTGAGCAACGAGGAGGATGTCTACGAAGTGAAAATCGATAGTTAGAACATACGCGTGATACCCCATTGCATCTCTTGGAATCGTATCGTATCCTACATCGCACAGGGTTGGTGCCGATTCCAGGAAGTGGCGTTCGGCTGGTTGCGATTCCAATATTCTGTGTACATTATTTTTTTTAACCCCTTTCCAAGGCGGTTTACCATCGCTAGAAGACTTAATCGCCTAATAAGTTGCGCAATAGTGATGCATTTCAGGACCAACGTAATCACATCCATGCGGATCATGTACTGGCTTGTCCTTGCTGGTATCTATCGCTCCAACCTAGGCCATAGGGGTATCCATCATCGTCGCGCCTGTGCCGTCTTCACCACCGCAACCAAGGGCAAACCGTATCAAAACGAGAAAAGAAAGAAAATACGCTAACAGAAATGAAGAAGATAGCCACTACCGGTCTTTCTCTCCGATGGCTGACGAACCGCCCGCAACCGCTGCGGGTTCTGTCGAAAGGCTAGCAGCAACTGACTCCTGAGACGCAGCGGCCGACTTCTTCCCTTCACTTGCCCCCTCAACTCCAGTATCTTTGGCATTGACTTCGAGGAAGTGGTAGAGAACAATCATCATCATCGCGCAAGAGCCGAGAAAGACGGCAAGACGGTGGAGATCGTCGTCGGAAATCATTTTGATGGTTGGGGGAGTTATGAACCGGGAGTATAAGGAGAAAGCAAGGTCAATTGATTTCTTCGAGAACGAAGGGAATGTATGGTCGGTATGATGCGTCGCAAGACGAAGCCGGCGTGGTTGCTACTATAGAAGCCACGTCAGTAACCAGTTATTGTAGGATCATCGTTGCAGTTTGGATAGCATTGAGAGTGGTGTAGGGGTACTGGTACATTATGAAAGACCTGCCTTTTGAGCTCCAAGTGGGTATGAAGGACCAAGGTCCAATGGGGGCGGGCGGTTGATAGATATGGGAAGAGGGAGTTGATAGTATGTACTTGTTGTACCTAGGTCGCTGGGCGGAGGTCGAGATCGGCCGGTCGCAAGTGACACCTGTTTGTTGGTTCCTCATTGAGTTAGGCTTGGGTACCTGAGGCGTCAACGGATGGGATCAGTCAGCGATGGGTGACTAATCTGAAACCCGTTTCAAGGTCCTTCTGACACTCTGACGGTGTGAAGTTGGTCGGAGTTGCTCTTCAACTGGTTTTTTTGGACTATTTTCCATGTTTCACTTGAGGTCTTCCGATGTGATTGATCCGGGTGCAATTTAACCTCTATATCCACCATATCGCATTGTTGGAGCCAATCTTCGGCCGAGTATGTGGGGGGCGGAGGGGAGCGATTTGTGCGTTGTGCTGTAAGATACACGCCGTTGTCCATGGGCTGCACCTCGTAAACCATACCTTCATACATACATACAGCTTGCTTTGCCCCAAAAAAAAGTACAACAGCGTTCAGGCCAGGTTCGCATCTGATTGGAGAGCTTTTGTATATTCCATGTTCGACCTTCTCCTCCCCTGACTAATGATTCTTTTCTTTCTTTTCTTTATCTTCATCACCTGTTCTTCCCTTTCTCTGGTGGTCCCTATTTCTTGTGCATCTCCGAGTCTCTCCTTCAGTTCTTGTACTCCCTTCCTTTTCTTCCCCCTCCATCCGCCCCTTTTCCCCATCTCTTCGTGTGTTGGTCAACTTTCCCATCCCCAACCAAAAAAAGTGATTTGATTCCCCGCCTCACGCCACAATTACACAAAGTGTCACCTCTTCTTTCATTATTCATCAATTGGTGCTGGAGCTAATTGATTTCTGTTTATCCCATTCCTCAATCATATCGGCGGATTTAACTAGCAAATTTGATCAATTTCATGCTTCTAGCTAGTTCTTCACGATGAACGAACCATTTATCGCGACGAAAAACCCGGGGCCTCCGAAGGCTGGCCCTTCGCTCCTGGCCTGCCTCCTCTGCCGGCATAAGCATCTTAAATGTGACGGGAAAACTCCTGTGTGTGGCCGCTGTGCGGCCACCGGATCAGAGTGCCAATATACTCCTTCGCGCCGCGGGTACAAAGGTCCGTCAAAGAAACGCCGTGCCAACCCGTCCCCCGATGAAACGGCCGACGATCTGGCGGCCTCCTTTGACCCCCAGTCGGTGGGCTTGGTCAACATTCCTCCCGACTGGAACGGCCTGCAGAACGGCTTCCAGTACATCCCAACCGCCACCTTGACGACCCCATCCTCGGGAAGCCCCGGCTTGACCGAGAAGTCCAGCTCCTCGCAACCCGTCCCATTACACAACGAGCCGCTTACCCCGGACTCCTCGTCCACCGTCCCCGGTGATGGCTATTTGATCGATATTTACTACACATATTTCCATCCGTCCCATCCCATTTTACCTCCCCTTCGTTATCTGTATCGCTCATACGTCCCACCATACCTCGACCATGTCATCAAGTTCATCGGTTCACACTTTACCCCGGCCGCCTCTAGCGAGAATTACCGACCCAACGTAATGTCGTCCGTCATGAAGCAGGATTCCTGTATAGAGAAGCTTCAGGCGCTTCTGCTACTGGCCATTGTACTCCATTCGCGCAACGAGCGACCCGAGGCTGGAGAGTGTCTGGCTACGGCTGTAGATATCGCCTTTGAATTGGGCCTAAACAATCACAGCTACGCAACGACAATGAACGAAGGTGACCCGATGCGAGAGGAGAGCCTGAGGCGTACGTGGTGGGAATTGTACATTATCGAGAACATGCTGACTGCACTTGGACTCCAGCGAACCGCTCGCACGGGTCTGGTGGCGCCTGAGGTCGGGCTGCCCTGTGAGGAACGTATATATCAGGACGGATTGGTCCCACCACCTGCCCCGACCATTGCGCAGTTCGATGAACGTGTATTCGCCGATGAGGAGAGAGATTTCTCCTCTTTCACATATCGTATTGAAGCAGCTCGTATCCTTGGGCGAGTGGTGTCTATACAAGACATGGTGGAAGGCCAGCAGGACCATGTGGAAGCTATCGACGCGCGGATCACCAGTTGGTTCCACCACCTGCCGGAATCTAAATCTGAGTTGCTGCGTTCGGATGGATCGGTCGATGAGATGATGTTTCAGGCGACCATGGTCGTCAACGGTGCGGCGATCTACCTTCACTTCCCAAGATCCGATCTGCTGTCGTCGCCGGCGATGGCTGCGGAAGTCATCTGTGGCCATCATGGCCCTTGCAGCATTCCTGCTTTCTCGCATCATGCACACGCGATGAAGGCTGTGAAAGCGGCCAGTGAAATTTCTTCGTTGGCGTCTATTCGCATGCCAGTCGTGAAACACACTCCTTTCTTTATCTGTGCTCTAGTAATGAGCTCTATTGTGCAGCTGGCTGCCTGCTCCGTGAAAGCCGGACAAATGCCCGATCCGAGTCGAGACCGACTCACGCTCACGATCGGGGTCTTCAAGTCTCTCGGCCGTACGTGGGCCATTTCCCAGGCCATCGTCCGCCAGATCAAGGCTGTCGCGCGCGACGTGATGGACCTTGGCTTGCGACCAACCATGGATCATATCGACTTGAATAGCGTCCTTGACAGCGGTCGATTCTGGATGCCAGAATCCCTTGCGCGGTAAAGTGTTTCAAAAATTTGGGATCTACTTCGCGTTTTTGGAATTTCAATCTTGTTCACATCATCTGACGGTATGGCTATCGATACCCACCGCAGAGATTAATACATAAAAGATCAGCCAACATGTCGATGTACGCATATTTACCGACAGGGATGGCTGCACTGACCCCCAGCCCTATTGGAAAGGAAATGACATATATTCACGTAGGCGTTTTGTTGATGATTACATGGAATTTGGCACTGGTGCATATCATGACTGGACGCTAGATACTTGGAGAAGTTTCATCCATCAATGTTAACCATATATTGGCACGAACAATCAATATGATTCTTATCACGAGTTGAACACGCCCCTGATATAGCAACACCAGGTTTCTCAAAGAAAGCAAATAAAGCCTTTCGTAAAGAGTTCTACAGCAACATGAAAATTATATACATCGACAAACAAAAATGACAAGCTCACATCTCTGCATCTATCCACCGCAGCCCCTGCAGCTGATTCGCATACCGAACACCAAACCCATGCTCAAACACCTGTCGCACACTCTCCAGCCCTAACCCCGCCGTTTCCGGATACGTGAAAATAATAAACACCCACCCAACGAAACAAACCCCAGCATAGAGCCCAAACGTACCGGAAGCCGAGATCGCACTCACCAGAGAAAGAAAAGTAGCCGAGACCAGAATATTCGAGCCCCCTATCATGAACCAGTCAGCATGTCACGCCACTGTGCCCGCAACAACCAAGGAAGGAAGGAAGGAAGGAACCCCACGTACAACAAACCATAGTCAACATAGCCGTCCCGACGGCCCTGACTTCCAGCGCCAGAAACTCATTAGCGAGCCATGGCACATTGCCCAACGCGATCGCGTAAAAAGCCACGAACACCGCAAACGAAACGATGGCAAGGATCTTCGCCCACAGCGGCGGCGTGGCCATGAGCTCTAGATTCGTGTCGATGTGGATCTTCGAGAACGCGCCCGCCGCCATCGCCAGCGCAACCGGTAACCCCCATACGGTGCCGATCAGCAGGCGCCGACGACCCAGGTCTACGAATTTCAGTGAGAGGGCCGTGAAGAGGAAGTTCGTCCCGGAGACGATCAGGCCCGCTTCGATGGGTTTCGAGAAGCCCATTATGTTGAAGAGCGTGGCGGAGTAGTACATCAGCGAATTGAAGCCGGAGAGCTGCTGCAGCGCCATGAGGCCGCAGGCTGTGATGAGCGATCGGAGATGCGAGGGGACGGTATGCAGCTGTTTCCAGGACCAGCATGCGCGCCGGATGCCCTGGTCGAAGGAGATGGAGCGATTGACGTCGTCTTGGATGGTTTGGACGAGGGTCTGGATGTCGGAGGGGGGTGCCTGTGGGTAGATTTGCTGCAGCACCATTATGGCGTCTGCTGTTTGGTTCCGATAGATGAGGTGGCGGGGCGTTTCGGGGTAGATGGGGAACAGCGCGACTTGGATTAGGGCTGGGATGGCGCCGAAGGCGAACATATAGCGCCAGCCTTGCGAGACGAGGCTGAACATGGAGCCGATTGCGTACGCGAGGGCTTGGCCGCCTGTTACTCCGAGCGAGTAGACGGTGATCATGCGGCCGCGGCGGGAGGCAGGAGAGAGCTCAGAGATGTAGAGTGGTGTTACCTGTGGATGGTCTTAGGGACTGTATTATGAGGGAGTAGGGTGTTCTGAGTACCATGGTTTCAAGGCCCATGCCTACCCCGATGATGAATCGGGCGATGGACATTAGGGCAACTGAGTATGCGGATGATGCGACGACGGAGCCTACGGTGAACCAGATGCACCCGAGTCCTAGGACCATTTTTCGTCCGATCTGTTAAGCAGGGTTAGGTTCGTTTCTGGGTACATTCAAGCTGGCAAGGTGATCGAGGCACCATACCGCATCCGTGGTGAGAGCCGCAATCAATGCTCCGACAAAAGCACCGCCGCTGGTAATACTAGTCAAGAGTTGCTTCTCTTCCCTGCTGAGGTCATGGCCCAAATCTTTATGGAATACGACAAGGGCACTTGAAATGATTCCGGTGTCGTAGCCGAAGAGAAGTCCCCCAATGGATGCTGACAGGACGCATCCATAGACGAACCTCGGAGAATAGACCGGCGTGTAGAACGCAGTGGAGCGATGCGCAACATAGCTTCTACGACTGCCTTCTTCTACATTTTCTAGTTCAATTGCGTCTGGAAGGCAGGAGGATTGAATGCCTGAGCGACCGCATTGTTCGGGGTGAAGGTGGCAGGATAAATATGCTTTCATGCCAGTGAAAGAGATATAATATGTCTCCACAACACTGGTCGTTGAGAAAGGAATTTCTCATCGAACAGAGTATCTGTAAGATCCCCTAAATAACAGGGGCCATAGAAGTGCCAGGTAGTTCATCGATTGACCCTGAGAACAAAAGTAGAATGGGCCCGAAGGAACGATGGCTGCGTCATCATGTGGCTTTGCCACCCCTAAACCCGATTATTTTCAGATTCTCTCAACCATCTTGCTGACTCGGCGAATAATGTCGATTGTAGTAAGCCACTGATTTTAAGCTTCCCCGGACATCGTGTTCCCCCAGTTTTACTTAAAAGCTACTAGTGGCTGCTTCCGAGTCCAGACATACAGCCTTTGTCATGGTATGCGTGCAGACCCTGTCATTGCCCCAATGTCTCGGAGATGATCAGCCAAAAGAACACAGAGATCGTACAGTTTCCCTGTCGCAATCACATCAGCTACAGATGAATTGTTGTACGCGCAATTGTTGAGAACACCAAGGGAGACGGGGGATGGAGAAATGGCCAGACTATGTAACGGCACCCCTGAGGTCCTGACTCAGTTGAACCGTAACGCTAATCGTACTGCTCCGCGCAGGTCCTGTATTGGGGTCTTTACCTGATTGCCCTGATTTTTATGACCCTTCGTATTATCTCGAGAATTTCAATTCGCGAGCGCCTGAAAGCTGACGATTACTTCGCCTTTTCATCATTTGCTTTTCTCTCGGTTGGAACAGCAATCCACACGGCCGCTGTTTCACCATATATCGACGCATTTAACGTAGCGCAAAACAGCACAGATTTTGGGCACGCTCTGTCGGAAAGCTCGGTTTTGAGAGAAAATGTGACAGTGGTGCTCCGATACTCTTTTGTAGGTAGTGTTGCTCTGTAGACAGTTTCCTGCACAGGTTAACATCCGCTAACGAAATAAGGCCTCTCTCATCATCTTTTGGCTTACGGTGTGGTGCGTGAAGTTTTCGATGCTTTTCTTTCTTCGGCCAATTATGTTGCCAATACCAGTTTATCTGGAAGGGTATGTTGTGAAAATGCCATTCGACTTTTCGTGTTGATGAACTACCATCTCCTGACGCAATTTCATCAAGCTGGTATATCGTCTTCGGCTTCACGGTAATGAATCTCGTCGGGTGTTTTCTTATACAGTTCTTCGGATGCTTGCCTTTCGGCCTTAACTTCTCAATCGACAATGGTAGCAGAACATCAGCCGTCTTGTGTTTTGATCTAGTAAATGGTTTGTTGACCTACCACAGATAACTGCGTCTCCGGGATTTCTAGGGAGCCAGGCAAGCTCTATGGCACGACAGCCTTAGACACTCTATCGGACGTGATGAGTATGCGCAGACCCATAGAGTGAAGTAAATTATCTCATACTGACACTTTGGCGCACAGTCGTCATTCTCCCAACTCGACACCTATTTGAACTCCCGGCAACCAAAAAGCAGAAAGCGGGTCTTGTTGGAATATTCGCGCTGGGGTGGATAATCGTAACACTGCCCTTTTCACCTCTATTGCAGAACTACAGGCGAGATCAATGTCTGACGAAGCATCAGATCGCATCTTCTCTCGTCCGAGCAATCCATGCATCTAGGGCAGGAAATAATATCCTAGGCCCAATAAACCAGGTCTGGAGCCTTATATCTCGCTCATATATGATTTTTTGGCGGTCTGCGATCATTCAGGCTAATATGTGTTTGCGAATAGCGTTGGCTTGCAATTTGGAGCCATGTGGAGTGTGTTGTTGGTTAGTGCTGTCCTCCTCTCGTGAAACGGCGATTCTAACGGTAATTAGCGGTGACCGTGGCCTGTCTTCCGCCAATATGGGTGGGTTATCGGAAACGTTGGAGGAGAGCACATGAATCCTCGATGTCATGACGAGCAGCACGTGCTGTATATGCTGTGTGATACCTCATGCACTTATCAAACTCTACTAAAGTAATGTCAATGTAAATATATTGATAATAAATCATTGCTTGGTAATTTATTCCATCTATAATACGCTATTACCAGGGTCCAAACATTCAACTCGTCCAAAAGGACCCGAACTGTAATCAGCCCATTTCAAATAATAACTCAGCCCAAAAAGCCCCAATACTTCAATCCGCAAAATGTCCAGCCACATGATGCGCAACAGCAGTTTCATCGCCCTCAAACACCCCACAAACAGGACAAGTCACTACCGAACCATCGAGCACGGGTTGTTGAGGTTCATCTCGACGTGCACCCCGCCGCGGTCTTGCACTAACCATATATGCATCTAGACCGATATTCTGCGAAGGAAGCTCTGCTTCGGAGGTAGTCCTTCTTGTCCTTTGTCCCTGTGTCGGGTCAGGTGGAGGGCACGAACCCCCCGTCCCCATGGATTGCACTCTCCCGATCCGGCCATCCGTGAGCCGGACTTTGATACCCCGGGGATGGTTGCCGCGGGTGAGCACGTCGGCGATGGTGCCCGAGACGGTGCGACCGGTTGGTTGGTCAGCTTTTAAGATGATGTTGACGGGTGCACCGGGCACAACCTCTCTGGTTGTGGGGACGCGGGGCATAGTGTGGTTTGGATGTTGGGGTTGTGTTTGGGGATTACTTTGGGAGGTTTTCGTTGATGGTGGTGCACGGTCCTTTGATAGTGCGCTAAACTCATTTAGGTATTTTGTATTGGGGCATATTGGTACCTGTTGTATGATATGATAGAAACATGTCTGATAGCAGCCCGAAAGGGTGCCATCAAGATATTGTAGCTTGGGACATATTGCTGTTTATTCAATATTCTACTAGAAGCCTGATATTCATCTGACAAGACAGGTTGAAACCCACTAACTTTGGCCAAGAAATCTCTTCACTGGACGTTCCTCATCAACATCAGACGGTTGCACATATTCTAGCAGCTCCTTTGCAAACGCCGCTGCTACAGTTGCAGCATGTTCTTGCCATTCCTTTTTCTTGTGTGAGTCTGCATAATCACGGATTCCTCGAATGACGATGCATGTGAAGTTGTTCATAAGTTCCGCTGCTTCCATCTCGACGCAAAGAATGTGACCGCCAAACTCACGGTCGAGTTTATCTCGTGCATTGCTTGCCACTTGCTCGGGCCTACTTTGGCTGGGAGTAAACTCCCGCCACCCTAACAGATATGTGACAAGTGCCAAGATCATCTCCCAGAGAGTCAATATGGTTTTCCATCTGCTCTGGCTATGATGGAACTCGTGAATGTGCAAAGGGTCCTCGTAGGAATCACATTTTAGATACCTTGGTGCCAGCCTTGGCCACTTCAGCTTTAGCTCGTCCAGAAACTCAGGTATTTTTGTCCCATTCAAGTCATGCTCCGTCTCCAGCTTCGTCAAGGCAGTGAGAAGTGATGTTGGTGGATTATTTAACGACCCTGTCCGCTCGAAGTTGCCGTCCTTTGTCTTGCTAATGTCCCACTGGACTACACCTGGAAATCCACCCACGGGTGTGCTAACCACTACATCACCGAGTCGGACCTTAGGTGGGATGCCGCCGCCAATGCCAACCAGGAGGCCAATTTTAATGGATGGGAATGTCCGTACCATCTGAGTAGCGACAGTTGCGGCTGAATTAGTGCCGTACCTGCCTTTCGGTAGACAGGCTATAACGATGTTGTGCTTGCCGATGGATCCTAGGGTGTATATGTTGTGGTCGTTGGATGGTTGGGGTAGATCTAGGTGCTTCTTGTCCAGCATGGCCATTGCCGCAGTCTGCTCCTTGGGAAGCGCGCAAATCCGTCCTACAGTATATTCACTGCGACTTTTAGATTGGGTATCGGCTGGTGTGGCCATTGCGAAAGAATGGCCCCTGAGAGTAAGGGCCTTATATGCTTACTTACCCTTAGGAATGGCTGACTCCCAAATGACCGAATTGTTGTGTCTCAGCTGCTGGAGTGCTGAATTTGGCAGCTTTGCATTAAGATCGCGTTTAGTCCCCCGTATGTGAGGCCATCACATGAGCCCCGTATCGAAGGACAAGGCTGACTGGGCAGCAATAAAGATAAAGCCCATGCAAAGGCTGAACAAGCATCTCGAAGTATGTGCCTGTATTCTCTATTCGCTGATCAGTAAATCTAAGAGTATCCCCGAACCTAAAACATGGTACACAGCTAAATGAAGAAGAGACATGGGAGAAAGGGATAGTATAGTCCTGGTTCCCGCTCTGGTGATCTGTAGACTGATTTAACCAGACTGCGATCGAGAGTCAAAAATCTGTTGCACGTCTGGCAACCTTCTCTCTCGAACTGTTTTACCAAAGAGGAAGGGATTTTAATTGGAAATGAGGTTGATATCTGCCCAGCAAAAGACATATATTGTTTGAACATCAAGGGCCTCCCGTAATTTTCCAACATTGCCAGATGCAGTGGACTCTGGATTGGTATCCTTGTTTTAAGAAAATTGCCGACTAAAATGGTGATTTTAGAAATATATTTTGGCTACCAAGAGAGCCAATTAATCTATGAAAAGATTGGTTTTCCAACACGCGCCGTTAACTATCTTGTTATCTCTTTTGTACACCCCCTTATAGTTATATAGATATGAAGGATTCCCTTTACTTACTTATAACAGACCCAGTAATAACTTGGAGACAATATAAAATTACCTATAATCTGATGAAAACCGGGAACCATCAGCCTCGTGTAGAGGACTCCCCACGTTCAACATTCCAGATAAGGGAATGATATCTAGTTCCCTGACACTCACATCAGCTAATGCGAGCTGCGAGATCATTGCCGTATCAGTCTAAAGACATACAGAAACCACGAGGCATTACCTGTGGACGGGAAGATAAAACTCTCTCAATCATTGCCTTTCTCGGTAACCCTGCCGCGGTGTATCAACTTTCAGAGCCCGAAAATGTCTCAGCCGATAACGCTCTGGTATCTGACACCTTCAGAGGAAGAAGGGATTATTAACGTTGCCACGTTGACGTCGGGTGAAAAGCTTTTCTTCTCATCTTTCACATGTGCCGTACGCAGCACTTTATTGGAAATCGTGGGGGTGGTAAATGTACGCCTTAGACTTAGTGCCTTATGTCTCTGTGGTATTCCGTACCTCAACGCTCGTTAGCAATTACGCCAGTTCGAGACGGCCTTCTGTGTTTGTATAGCCGGTTGCCACAATAATGGACCCTGTGGCATCCTGTAGCCATTGATAGTTGCCAGAAGTATGCATTCAACCGATATGAAAATGGAAAGGTCCACGACGGTCCGGACTGCCCAGCGCTCTTCCATAACCTGTCACCATACTTTAGCATGCTTCGTAGTTGCTTTGTATAGTCTGGGGGTATCCTAGTAGCATGAAAGCATATGCACAATGCAACTGTGCTATAAAATGGTCGCCTAATGATTCATGAACCACCGCCGGCTTCCCGGTAGGCCCAAGTTACCGACATGTAACTCATTTCCTAATTTGGTGCTATCTTGGCCGTTGAAGCTATAGTCGACTCACTTGCATCGCTGTTGCATGATAAGAAACACATGAACTGTCTATGCACCCAATAACAGGAGTGCGTGGCGAGACTGGTGCGATGTGATGCCAAGGAACATGGTGTCGTAATCCCCCTTTGTGGACACAATGGATGCATCTATACATTGTCTATCATAATATGCCACACTCCCCTAGACAACTGTTGATTTAATAAACGATTACCGACCAACTCAAATCAGTGTAAATGTAGAATGAATGCATATACCTCCCCCAAGTAACATAAGGCAGAGTTATGCAAACTTCACCCTGACATCATCAATGCCGGGTACGAAATCTCCCAGCGAAACCGGTAATTCTCAGCGTCTTGAAAAAGCAGAGGGAGGCAATAATGTCCGCCACACGGACCAACATGGAAAGAGATGGAAGACGGGAATGGCATCATTTCCCGCATGCGCATCACGTGGCGTTGAAAGATGGACGTGCACACAAACCACTAGACGCGTCGTTTGTCTCCTCTTTCTATTGAGTTCTGAGCAACTCCGGATAAGTCTTCTTCATTCGTTCATCCGCATCCATCGTTTGCCATTTGCTTCGTTTTGATTCGTCCTGCGACCCGCGTGATCAGAACAACCCTAAGGCGTGGGCCACTCGGGTGCGGGGATATCGCATTAACTTAACCTTAACCTCCAGATTGGTCCGGGGTCGAGAAACTCTGGGGTTTTGGCATCCCGGGGCAACATCCTTGCCATCACTGATAGGTAGCGGAGACAGAGAATACTAGGTTCTAGGAGTATTCCTGTCGAATGACAGTGCCGCAGCCATACCCGCCTCCCCTCCCTCTCTCCTTCACGGTCATTGGGTAGTAACCCATCGAAATGCAGTGGGCGCGGTTTTTGATGTAACTTATAAGATCGGCCAAAAAGGCAGAGCTGCGAGAAGTGGAGACCCCCCGACCTTCGGCTTCACTCCGCATCTCACGTCAAGACTCTAGACTCCCCCTCCCCTGAAAGTGGGAAATCTTGCCGTTGAGGGTCCGGTCTGGGAAATGATGGTGTTGGGAACGACGTCACAATTGAGGCTTGTCCCGACATGCATCAAGCCGGACCGTAGCACTAGCTTCACCTGTCGATAGCCGATATTAGATATAAATACGCCGAATAACTTCGGGATAGACTCGAAAAAAGGGCAAGGTACTCCGCAACGGTGCCATAACGCGCCACCTCCCCCTTCCTCAGGCAATCCTCTCTTTGCCGCTCCTAATTGAGTAATTTTTCTTATTCTTCATTTCTTTCTTCCTTTTGTACGTACCATACTATACCATATACGTACTACTGTACACTTGGGCCTCCTCATATACTGCCCATCGACCATGAGCTCGATCGATCTAGACAAACGCAAGGATGGCCCGATAGTCGAACATGACGAGGATGCCATACCGGGTCTTCATTATCAAACTGTAGATCCCCATGCCGATCCGGATGCAATTTCATACGGCCCCAATGGCGTCAAAGGCCTTTTTTTCTCCAAATATGTCTTCGGTGCGGCTACCCTCGCCTCGCTGGGCGGGTTCTCCATGGGATATGATATGGGTGTCATTTCCATCATCAATGTGATGGAACCGTTCCATAAGGCGTTTCCCAAGGCGGAGACCTCCTTCGGGAAGGGTCTGATGACTGGAATGTTGCTGCTGGGTGCCTTTATCGGTTGTATATTCATGTCATATCTTTCAGATCGCATCTCGAGAAAATGGGCGATCACGGCTATGGTGGTGGCTTTCGACATCGGTGCTATTCTGCAGACAGCTGCCGTAAACTACGACATGCTAGTAGCCGGAAGATTCATCGGTGGTATTGGAGTTGGCACCTTAGCAATGGTAAGCAAAGCCCTAACAACCAGGCCATACTCCCCACCCTCCCAAAAGACGAAAGAAGACCAAGCACTAACCCAATATCCCCGGTACCAGGGCGCACCACTCTACATCTCCGAAGTCTCTCCTCCGAACATGCGCGGCACACTCCTAGTCCTCGAATCCATCTCCATCTCCGCAGGCGTAGTAATAGCCTACTGGATCACCTTCGGAACGCGCCACATGGCTGGGGAAGCCTGCTTTCGCCTCCCATTCGGCCTCCAAATGGTCTCAGCCACAGCCCTGGGCCTGGGAATCCACTTCTTCCCCTACTCGCCACGCTGGCTGGCGCTCGTGAACCGCGATGCCGAATGCCTAACCAGCCTTACGAAACTGCGCAACCTCCCCGCCACCGACGAGCGCGTCCAGATCGAATACAATAGCATCATCTCTGAAGTTCGCTTCCAAAAGATCGTCCAGGAGCGTAAACATCCAGGCGCAAAGGGCCTGAAGCTCGAAATCCTGTCATGGTTCGATCTGTTCTCAAAGGGAACCTGGAGACGCACGGCCGTCGGCTGCGGTATCGCATTCTTCCAGCAATTCTCGGGGATCAATGCCTTCATCTACTACGCACCGACGCTCTTCGAATCTCTCGGTCAATCCTCCGAGATGTCGCTTATTCTCTCCGGTGTTTTTAACGTTCTCCAATTGGTGGCAGCAATTATCTGTTTCCTCCTCATTGAGAAGATTGGTCGGCGGCCGCTCGCCATCGGCGGTGCGTTCGGGATGGCAGCAGCGTATGTTATCATCGCGGTATTGTCAGGCGTGTACTCGAAAGACTGGCAGGCCAATATGGCGGCCGGCTGGGCATGTGTGGCGATGGCGTTTGTGTTCATCCTGCTATACGGAGTCTCCTATTCGCCATTAGGTTGGGCCTTGCCTTCTGAGGTATTTTCGACGACGTCACGGTCGAAAGGTGTGGCGCTTTCGACATGTGTGATTTGGCTGTCGGATTTTATTATCGGGCTGATTACGCCGTCGATGTTGGCCGAGATTGAGTATCGGACGTACATCTTCTTCGCTGTGATGTGTTTTGTTGCAGGGATTTGGGCTTTTCTACTCGTGCCGGAGACGAGTGGGAAGTCGCTGGAGGAGATTGATGAATTGTTTGGGGATGACAGTGCAAAGAAAGAGAGGGAGATTGCGGCGGCTGCCTTGGGTTCCTCCCCTGAGAGGAGTGTTATGACTGTATGACCTGTTTCTTCTCTTGTCTTCTTTCTTTTTGAAACTACATTCCCCTCTCTCATGTGTAATGGTATTTTGTTCTTGTATTAGATAGGATTTTGTACTTGGATAGCCTTAGGAAGGATAGATTTTTCTTATTTTGATGCTTGATTTCGTATGTGACAATGGGTGGGTATGCATCTGCTCTCAAGCAAAAAGGCCAACCGGGTATCTTATTTTGCTTCACGCCCGCTTGCTGCTAACTGAAGTCAAATCACAACTAATGAAAGAGTGCTAGGTGATGTATGATAAAGGACGTATCTAAACTTGAAGGATCGTATAATCTTGAGAAGCCAGGCCAGTCTATTGAAGATAAGGAAAGAAAAGTGGTATCATAAGGGACTGCAACATGAACAGGGGATGTATCTTTCGGGTATTGTTGAACACATAGTAATAAAATGAAAAGGAATAAAATCATTTACTCTCGTCCGTATTGTATGCGCCGAACTCCCGCATTGCGACTGCCCTGCGCTCTACGACATCTTCACGACGCACGACGTTGCGTAAGGCCTCGCTGGCCTGTATCAGGCCGTCGATGCTGATTGCGTGGTTGGTCATTTGGTGATTGATATACGTGTATAGCTCGGCGGGAGTGGAGCAGGTTGTGAGAAGTTGCTGTTCGTTGAGCTTGAGAAGGGCAAGAGCAACTTGGAAAAGGAATGTGCTGCCCCCACCATTGCCGGAGGTGAGGTCTTTGATAGGGGACGCGGTGGAGTCATTGGGATCTCGAGGGCTGGACGTTGATGTATTGGCGGAAGTTGGGGTTGGATTGATGACACTGGTGACGTTGAGACATAGGACTACGTCCCAAACGCGATACAATGCTTCCGCAGAGAGACAATCCGTGAACACGGATAGGAACCACTGGAATGTCAATGCCTCTAATTCAACGCCGAGCGCCTCAAGGTGAGCGGCTAGCTTGGGTAGAACTTCGGAGATGTACTGACGCAGCACGACCTGGTCAGCCCGGGACGCCAGAAGACCATGGTCGTAGTAATGTTCTGGGAGGATGATCTCGATCATGGATGCTAGAATCCAAAACGCGTCCTCTGCAGTCGGCGTTATGAGAAGTAGAGACGCGGCAATGAGATTCATGCCTTGGCAGTATCCCACCTCCGAGTTGCGACGGGCATATGCGAGGAGAACCTCCTTGAGCTTAGTAACACCAGGGCCTTTGCGGAAGAATACGTTATCTGTTAAAGTCCGGTTGATGTCCATGTCGATTTGCGCAACGACAGATTGATCGGGGTCATTGCCACCGACACCCTTTACCAGGTCATCATAGTAACCAGGTATACGCATGGAAGACGCGCCGCTGCATTCAGACCAGACCTTAGCTCGAAGTGCAACGGGAATTCCTCCGAGAACAAGAGTTCGGAACTCCCGCCACTTCGCACGGCCGACTTTGCCCTTGTTCCCCAGGCCAGCAATTCCCACAACCTCGCCGTCTGTAAGGGATGCCTCAGGCATATGTACAGACTGCAAAGGCCGATCTGAAGCGGCAGCGGCAGCGGCAGCGGCTTCGCCCTCCTTCCTCCGCTCTGCACGCACTTTACGGAGAAACTCATTCCACCTGACGCTCCTGTCGCGCTGCAGGGAGTCGTGGAGGTCTGTCAATTGTTCCAGAAGCAACTTCACAGGCTCATTTTCGTTCGCAGTGGCGTTTGCTGCCGTAGCTGTAGGCTCATCATTCGATGTGCCAGCGAATTCTGGACGATCTGCAACGACAGTAGACGTAGATGCCGACGGCTGAGCATTCGCATTGACTGAGAGCGAGCCACGCTTATCGACAGCAACCCCAGGGCCTCGAGGCTGGCTCTCACCTGCGGTTAGTGACACTATAGGACCAGCTGAAGGCGTATGAGACAACAATTCGGCGGGTCCCGTCGCAATTCTCAGGTAGTCCTGCCACCTCCGGATTGCAACACTACCAGCCTCCGGGTCCTCAGGAGATGCAGAAACGGGCGAGCGCGTAGACTCTGCAGTGGACTGTGGCTGCTTCTGGAGATCATCATTATCGCCATCCGAGTTATCGCTTCGAAAACTGTTCAGGGTCTCCGCAATGCTTATCCGGTTGTTGTTATTCTTGAGCAGACTAGCCTCTCGCTGCCGCTTTTTTCGGCGCTGATCATAAATAAACCCGAATCTGTCAGTCAGAAGCTCGCCAGGTTGATAGTTGTTGTACATATGTGAGAGTGTCGGAGGTCGCGACTCCATCGGAAGGATAGCATCCATCTCAACTGGTCCGAGATTGGTTGGGTTCTTGTCAGTGGTTTCCGAACTTGTCCCGTGCGAAACACTTGAGGCTGCATGCCTACGCCCTATCTGATTTGATCGGTTTATCGCACCCAGGCCACTTGGCGATTTTCCTGGCGCCCCGTGCATGCTCGTGTTACTGTTGATCCTTTTCAAGGCAGCCACCGCCGACATTCCTCCTTTGGAATTTGCTTGGAGGGACGGAGGATCTCCTCTGATACTCCCGTGATTGTTTGACAGAGCTCGGCCGCGCGGTGCGTCCACGTTGTTCTCTTCCTTGCCTGCTTGGGCTTTTCCGGCAAACAACTTGACTGTCCAAGACGATACAGATTTTGACGACTTGCGTGAATGGATACTGGCATCATCCCCGTTGACCGAGACCCCCGCCACGTGTTTCCCGATAAGCTCACCCGTAGAGATCGCCTGCTCATCCGGAGGATTGAAAAGTTGTTCGTCAAGCGCTTTCCGGCGGGCCATGTTATTCGGGTGACGCCGAGTATCTTCTTCATCAACTTCACCAACATCAGTCATTATGCTACTCGCTCGGCTAGTTTTTTTACTGCCTGTATTGCTGCCGAAAAGGTAATCCTGCCAATTCCGCAGAGAGCTTTGTCTCTTCCGTGTAGTTCCTGATCCCGATTCGACGCTAGAGGTGCCCGATTTGGCGTCGCTCTCTAGGCGTTGCAAGCCTCGAACGGTAGCTTGCGCCGCAGTGGCTTCTAACGACTCCTCTTGGCGAGAGCCTACTCCATCAGACATCGCTTGCTGCATCAGCCCATGAACTCCAGAAGAACCGGCTTCCTGGTCCGCATTACCGTTATCATCATGTTCTTTCTCAACCTTCCGAGGCGAATTTTCCAATGCATAAAGCCGTCGCTCAATATCCTGGTTGGAGACAGAAACCTCCCTCAGCATCCTCTTCAATTCTCTCTCCCTCGCGTCAGCCCGCTGTCTCAGTGATGAGATCTCAGCATCCCGCTGAGCCAGATCGCGCGCAAACTGCCGGACCAACTTCACAGCCCCTGTACCAGCAATCAACCGCTCAATATGTGCATCGTCCGCCAAATGTAGCGCACCAGGGAAATCATGGACCGGAACACCATCGTCAAACAAAGCCGCACGGCCAGACGTTCGCGGCATTCCGCTCGTCAACTTCGCTAGGGTCGCTCTTCGATCACGACCAGTCATCTCACCCGAGCTACTACTATTGATGCTCTCGTGGTCGTCCAACAACGCGTTCGTAAGGGCGCGGTTTAACGCAGGCTTGCCGGAAAATCCTTCCACTGAACGGTCCGGAGAAAGGGAGGGAAACGACGTAAGGTCGGTGGTGGTAGCATTGGAAGATGCAGCTGACTGTCGTTTCTGAGATCTCGTACGGACGGGTCTAGGCTTTTGGCTGTGACGGGAAGAAGAGGACGTCCGTGACGATGACCGACGCTGCGGGCGTTCGATATCAGACTCCGCCATGACTCTTTGCAAAGTGGATTGAGCAGACGGAGAATTGACCTGCGGACTTCATGAATAACTGTATACTTTGTATACTTTGTATTCACTAAGAGGCTATTAGGAGAGAATGTCGGTACGTTATTCCGATAGTCGTCTCATCTAATTAGCCCTTGGTACCTTCGCTGGTGGGATGCCGTGACTGCGTCTCATGGATGGGTAGAAATCTGCAGATCATCCCACAAAGCCAAAGAACAACAAAACTGCGGTGAACGGAAGAGGGGAGAGTAAAGAACGACACAAGGTTCGCGAAGGGGGCTGCCAGGAAGGCAACAAAAAAAGAAGAAAATAAAATAAAAGCAGCAGAGTCTGGAATGCGTTTAAGCAAAGCAAAGAGCGTTGGCCATGACGTGGGACGGGGCATGTGACTTTTCCTGTTTGGTCCTAATGCGGAAGATCGGCTTACTCACCAGATTCTTGTTTTTTATTATGTAATTATCCTGCTGAAAGTCAGCTGACCGCAACCTCGGCTCCCCCGCAAAAGAACCGATCCATAGAGCAATATCCGAGCTAATCAGTGAGCCATTGGAGGCATGACACCCGAGATGTTGGTCGCGTATATCTTGTTTTATCTCTATACCTAGCCGCAGACATTAATTCAAGGATTGTATATTTCTCTGTCTCTCTTAATATACTGATCAACTACGGTCTACGGAGTTCACGTACAGCAATTGTGAATTACTAAATCATCTAAGATGTCCGGAGCTGCCAAACAACGTCTCCAAGCACTCAGCCAGCAATTGGTGGAGGGCATCCCCGACGCAGGCACGTTTGAAGGCATCCCCAAGATTAGACAAGTTGCTCAGGACTCGGTCGGTCCGTAAGTGTATCTCAACCGAGAAACAATTGCATGCACAACCCATTGCTAAGTGAGGTATAGCCGTGTCAAGGACAAGGTTGTGATCGTAACAGGTGAGTCCAGCATATCCTTTACAGGACACCGAACCCCGAGACTTTATGTACCTCAAACAGCAGCATGCGCTAACCAAAGCAATCCCAAAACAGGAGCCAACTCACCTGCCGGCATCGGTCGTGCCAGCGCACACCAATACGCTCACAATGGTGCCAAAGCCGTCTACATCTGTGACTACGACCCCACACATTTGGCAACTCACAAGCGGGAAATCGAAACTCTCTATCCAGGTGTCGACGTTCACACCCGCCAGTTCGACGCAGCCGATGAAGTGGCTGTGAAAGCCGTGGTCGATGATGCAATTCAGCGCTACGGCAGGCTCGATATATTCTTTGCAAACGCAGGGATTGTGGGTCAGCCAAAGATATTCACAGATATTTCTGGGGAGGACTTTATGAAGACGCTGAAGACAAATACTCTTGGGTTAGTCTGCTTTATGTTAAGTCGGTGGTTAAAGGAGGACATGTACTGATGGCTGTCTCACTAGTGTCTTTTTGGCTGTCAAGCATGCGGCCGGCGCCATGAAACAGACGTCGGCCTCGAAGCCGTATCCCTCAGGCTCTATCATCTGCACTGCATCAGTTGCCGGCTTGCGCTCTAATGCCGGTTCGACCGATTACTCTGCGTCGAAAGCAGCTGTAGTCTCTATTGCTCAGACATGCGCGTATCAACTGGCGGGCAGCGGTATCCGGATCAACGCTATCTGCCCTGGCTTGATCGAGACAGGCATGACGCAAGCTGTGTTTGACGCCGCCCGCGCAAGAGGAACGCAGCGCAAGATCGGACAGTTGAACCCTTTGCAGCGAGGCGCTGTTGCTGATGAGGTTGCTCGGGCAGCCCTTTTCTTGGGAAGTGATGAAAGCAGCTATGTAAATGGACAGGCATGGGCGGTTTGCGGCGGACTGAGTGCGGGACACCCGTTCGTACCTGGCAAACTGGCTTAACTGCCTTCACAGATGACTACTCTACACAGACGAAGTTATATTTGCTGTATAAACAATTTGAATTCAATCAATCCACCAAGAAGTAGACGTTGTCCAATTCAGAATATCCTGGACTACAGCAGCTCTCAAAGCAGCCCCTCTCGAAACTATAGACAAAAGGAAATGTATGTGCCACAACAAGGAAAACACAATGAGTGTGGTGGTCCCACATGGGATGCCGTTAAAAAGAAATTGACCCAAAGAGACAAAAGTCCTGACCACTTGGTCCCGGAAAGAAATGAAGTTAAAAACGCCAATGGTGCGGATGGGAGAAAAGAAAACGGGACAATGGATCCATCCCAACACAGACGTGAAGAAAACAAGTCCGCCAATAGAAGAAGAAGTAGATAATAAAATGAATACGACAGGGAAAATAGATGTCCAAAGCTGAAAAGGCGACAGTGGGAATATCCAAAACGGAAGGCGGAAAAGAATAAGGCGAAAGCAAAAGTCAAAACAATGCCATTGCACAACTCGCTCTAACTGAGATGGTGGGAGCAGAGGTCGTGTCAAAGTCGTTGAAACTAGCGTTGCATCATCGGGCGATGGGCAATTTAAACGACCAGCCGTGAAGTGCTCGACCGCATGAGATCCTCGCTGGTCTGCTTAGACAGAGTTCCGGTCTCGGTCTGGTCATCAAGACCATCGGTCTCATGGCTGTGCTCATCATCATCCTCAACTATCCTGGTGGGCACCTCACCTGGTCCATACTGTTGGCTAGACCTTTCCGGAAAGGTTGAATTGCTCACCATGGACATTGAGGTACTCGACCGGTTATGCACCAAGTCTGGCGTGGGAGGAACACTGGAGACCCGGTGGGCATGAAGGGAGTTATCCACGTCGCCCATTTCGCTGCCCTCGCGAATTGAAGACTGGTCATCAGGGATCAATCTGTTTCCATTAAGCGTCTTGTTGGACTCATCTGACTCGTCATCTTCCGCATCCTGGGCCAAATGCAGGCCCTCCACGGCGGCAGCACACTGTTCGCTGATGCTGCGGATGATGTCGGAGATCGCGTCGGTCTTATCCCGCAGGTAGCGATCTGCAACATCAGTTATGCTAAGGCGAGCGAGAGAGCGGTTATGCCCATTACCAATGCTTAGGAGATGCTGCTCCAGTTCGGGGCTCATGTCCTTCATGACCCTGGACACCCGGTTATCGTCAAGACGAGGAGTGCTCGATTGTCTCCGAGGCTCCGGTGTCGGTGCCAGTGCCGGCTCAACTGCCTTGCTTTCCTTGGATTCTTTGCTCTCCTCGACTGCCTCTTGTTCTGCCAACTCAGAGATATCGACCTCACTACCAATGGAGCGAATGATGTGCTCCATATGATGGGTTTGTCCATTGATGAGGCTACGGAGATGCAAAACCACCCGTTGAGCCTCATCACGCTGCCGAGCCAGGGATGTATTACTGTGCTGCAAGGAAGACAGCTCCTGCTGGTTACGTTTGCGCTCGCGCTCCAGTTCTTCTGCAATCTCCTGTTGAAGAACCAATGCTTCAAGAGCATCATCCCGCTGCTTCTCAGTGCCAGACAAACGAAGAGTGAGGCGGGCCACATCATCCTTCTGCTGATCAATGAGACCAGTAAGGCGACGGTTCTCACGCTTGTGATTCTCAATCTTGACCTTGAGTTCGGAGGTCTCCTTGGTGAGCTGCTCTGCGAAGGCCTGGAATTTAAGGAACTGCTGCTTCCAGGTCTCCAACTCCTCGACCAAGAAGTTGTTGCGCTTGGTAACCTTGCTCAGCTCAGTATCCATGCGGCCCTTCAGGTTAATGAAATCTTGCCAAGCCTCCATAGCATCACGAGAGTATTGGTTCCGCTCGCGCACAATCTCGTTGAGATGGCGGGTGGACACCTTTGTCATCAGGGGCTTCTTGACAGAGCCGCCGAAAATGGCCTTGACACCTGTGTTACGACCCAGCTTCTCACATACATGGTCCATAACGCCCATTACAGCATCCTGGTTCCACCATTGGGGATCCTGGATGCTCTCAACCTCCCCTCTCATCACAATGATCTGGCCAGCTGGGATGAGCTTACCACCAGCGTACGCAGACCGAAGATGGTTCGGCACACCTGCTGGGGAGACATCGCCGTTCAAAGCTTGTGTTAATCGGTTGATAAATTTGGTCCGCTGACCTGGAGTCAGAACATTTGGTGGGCTGGAAGTAAGCACGAAGTTCCGGTCAAGGTCCACAACCAGAGCGTCGTTCGGTGCGTTGAACAAAGTCCGGCACTCCGCCGTAACACCAAGGATGTAAGGTCCCGGCTCTTGAACCAGGTCTTTGATGTGACGGGCGTGGACTACTGGGACATACAGGCCACTCCATTCATAGACTCGAACGCAGTACCGAATAGTTTCGGCAGCAATAGTCAACATGGCAGAGTAATGACTGACGAAAATGATGCGACGAGTGGGTGACACAGCAGCCTCAATAACTCCAACAATGTTCGGAATCGACAAACAATTGAACAGGGGCCACATGGCAAAGTTCTGGAACCCGGTAGGGGATGACGGGAATTGGTAGCACAACGCATAGTCCTTCATATCAATGCGAACAAGGTCGTTGAGGCGAGGCGCGGGGAAGCTGAGGATTCGGGACACCTCCTCGGCGTGGAACAAGTTTGTGGCCTTGTTCCAGTGAATCCACATGCCTCGAAGGTAATCACCCAACAGGTCGTACAACGGGTATCTCGACAGAAAGCTCAAGCAATACGGGATCCAGTAGGTTTCCTCCGGGTTATCATAGAAGTCCGGCTCAGTCTTTTTGCGCAGCTCGCGAATGGTCTCTGCACGCTTCTCATCGGCCCTTGACCAGACCCGCAGAGCGATACCGTAGAGAGTGTGGGAGGAGTCCTGCTGCAGAACGAAAGCATGGTGTACACAGTGAGGCTGGGTCTTGCCTGTGCAGATCTCAACGTCGTGGGGGAAGCATGCCTATTTGTCACTTGTCAGCCGGCTTGTTCCTTTCGGAGAAGTTCACCTTCGAAAGTTTATCGGTTACACACCCTCATTGCCGAGTGCAAAGACTTAGCAATCTCATTATCCTGTTCCAACCGGGGGCTGCTACCCAGGATCTCCGGCAACCAAAATTGTCCCACGGCACCTTTCATATGGCCAATTTTTCCCTGCTCGGGGGCGGGCGCCCTCACCCATTGGGAGGGCTCACGGCCCACACCACAGACCATGTAAGCATGGGTCAAGGTTTTGGGCGTCCGCTGGGCCGGTTTCGCGTTCATCTGTGACGGGATTGGCTGGGTGATACGGGAGTGAAGCGAGGAGGTGCGACTAGGAACGACCAGCGAGTTTTCTCCTTGGTCGCGGGTGGCCGGGCGGTCGCGCGTGGATGGTCGGACAAAAGACGATGACTGTTCTCTCAGAGACGGAGGCATAATGGGAATATATAAACAAGTAACGACTATGAGTGTTTTCGGGTGTATCTAATCTTGGGGTTTCTTTGTCCCTTTTGGTTGGGCCTCACTACCACTGGGGTCGAGACCTGGTCGATACTAAAAATCAATGGACGGTAGAAGGAGTAGGACGATCGTAGGGCAGTTTCAGTTGGAGAGACCCGAAATCCGATCGGTGAGGGAAGTGTAGCACTGCTAGAGGTTGTAAAGGGCGAGGCGAAACGAAGGACCGACAACCCAATCAAAACGAAGGAACAAGTAGGGGCAATTGGGCGGAACCGGATATCAAATACTCAATTACAGCCCATTTATCGACTTGGCGAGCATTGCCCAAGATATGTAGGACGTCCCGAGGAGAAGAGAACCGACGTGGCGAGTTGAGGTGTGGTGAAGAACTCTCACACACTCTTTCTCTCTCCGAGGTGGTGATGAAAGAGAGGTGAGGGAAAGCAGGAGGGGAAGGAAAGACGAGGGACGGGACGGATCAAGAAAAGAAAAGGACGGAGAGGAGGCGCAAAGAAAAAGAAAGAGCCAGGGAGTTGATCTTGACCCTGAAGAGTTGGCAAGTCGCAGTAAAGGGGTTGAGGGGCCCGTTCTCATTGGAGCGTTAGTAGTAGTTAGTGTAGAGACTAACTCCGTAGGGGAGACTCGAGGTCCTTCCGTTTCTTTTTTGCGGTTTTTTTAATCTAATTTTCCCAGTAAAGTACACAAGACTTTCCCCCGTTTGTTCGTTCCTGCGCCGGTGGATACTGCTAGTCAGGGACCATCAACCGGCTGTCCCCCATCTGATACGTGAGGGACTTGGAACAATGGAAGGAACAATCGTTCTACTGTTCGACTAGTAGTCGTAGTCAAGAAGACAGGACATTCCTTTGCAAATGAACTCTTTCATATTGAACATGACTCGACTTCCTGAAATAGAAAGTTTGTCTGCACAATGATAAATTCCGGTTCAGTCCAGAGTCTGTGTTCCAGGTGAGGTTCGTTCCTTGCGCCCGTGCGGGGGCGTGGCGGCCAGCCGATGGTATTACCATACTGAAAGTCTGAAATAGATTCGGCACACTGCTTCAACCTGGGAAGTCACGGGTACCTGAGCGAAGTGCTTCTGACGGAGCTTACCTCAGGTACCAAAGACTTCTCCCGCAATTCGGGGAAATGATTGGACTGAGACAAGGCTAACCCTCCCAACACGATAGACGGCTCGGGCTAAGTTCGCCCTTTACCCACGCGAGAATGGATCTTCTCCCACGAGTCTCAACCAAACACAATGAAGCGCTATGGAAGTCAAACAAAAAAAAAAAAAAAAAAAAAAAAAAAAAAAAAAAAAAAAAAAAAAAAAAAAAAAAAAAAAAAAAAAAAAGCTACAGGAACATGGACCAGACTCCAAGCACAACGAACATGCATGAAGCTATCCTTCTGCACCTAAGTACTAGTACGTAGCATATACTGCTCGTCACTCGGAAGTGGAGCTCGGCCCATGTATCATGGATGCGAACAACTCGTTCCACTTCCAGTCCCGCCTTTTGCCTTATCCGCAGAGACATTAATATTAATCCCTCTTTTTGTGGTGGGCTCTTTTCGCTCGGCTGGATTGGAATGAAATTCTGGAATCTATACACAAGTATTCTTCCGCCGAGAATCCCACATGTGGTAAGGGAAGGCTGAATAGAGTTCTCGTATCGCTTATCATCGCCGTGCACACCTGCGCGATTGACTTTTGGTCTGTGTTGAAGAGAATTTACTACTCTGGAGTAATATCAGGGGTGGGATTACGACAGGGATGAATCGGAGCTATTCTCTCAGTTTAAGCCGCCAATGTCCCATGGCAGAATGATATGACTTTGGTCCTGGATATATCCAATTGCCTGTTGCCTTCTTGTTTATTGATTTTTTTCCCCTGACAATGAGTACCTAATGCTCCGTACCCACGGTGGAATATTTTCGGCGGGAGGCATGGAAGTGGCAGTGGCAACCGGCAAAAGAGGACGATCATTATTTGCAGCAGTTCGCTGCCAACCCTGGTATGCATCATGGGTACCGTAACAGGACGCACTTATGCAGTAATACGGCAGGTTCTCAATAATTATACCACGTATTCTTGTCTTCCAGGGCGATCCAAACCCAAATTTGTCGCTACCAACAATGAACATTGTCAAACCGCCTGAACACCGAAAAGTTAACCTTGTGATGAATAGTCGGAGATACTGAGTTACTTACATCCATCCCGTTCGGAGGATTTCTACAGTACTACTCTTTGACTTTTTCTCCTCGCTTTCTGGAAGCCTGCCATTACGTATCCCTCTTTTGTATTTATATTTTGCTTCCCGGCCTCCCTTTATTCCATTGAAATCCACCACATCCTCTTAACATCGTATTGAATACTAGAAGAGCCGATACCTAACTCGAGGTAGCGGTACTGACGGACAGGTCGGAGACAACGCGTTCCTCCCGCCGGATCCACTGCTTCGAGTCATGGCTATCCCTTTCTAACAAATAGGAGTTCCAACCGAAAATCTCTGACACGATGCTTCTGTCAAAAATGGCAGGCTCACCCCGACTCCAGCTGCCGTACACACAGACAGCAGTTCTAATCGCTACCTGCAGATTTAGTGCTCCCCAAACAAACAATCTAGATTCAGCCCCAGGAATCGGCATGACCTGCAATTATAAGATACCGAGTATAACCAGACGGTTTGAATCGCATCGATCAACTGATTGACCATGACATCTTTGCAGCACTAGCAGGCAACTGACCGCTATTTTTATATCAAACTATCGAATTCACTATCGACTCGGAGAATATGCGAGCCACACCATGGAATTAACAGTGTGTTTCAGATAACAATAGAAGGAAAAGTCTGCTTCCACACAGCGGTGCTAAACTACGGGGTACAGGTAATAAATAACAAACACGATCCTGTCGTCGTGGGGTTTCTTTCGATAGGCTCCCTCACGGGAATCTCGGTTCGGCTGTCTGGTACAGACCCAACGGCCCAAACTCTCAAGGCCAACCAGTAATTACACCAGATTACAGTCAAGATTCGCTTAGCGAGCGATTTATCCATGGATGCTGTCGGGCTAATCTTGGAATACGGACAAGATGTTTCGCATGCAGTACTTTATTTCAACGTGTATAGCAAGATAGAGGCACTATTCTATTAGTTTTTCCGCATTGCCATTGTTTACTGACAGCACACTTTAGTTGCTTACGCCTTCTGATTTAGTCTGTAGTTGGTGCAGCAGCCTAACTCCGAAACGTATATGCGAACAGGTTCCCGAGTCCTGTTGACGAGCTCAGACATCGAACCCTTCCGCCGAGACCTTCTCCAATGTCGAAGACCTTCATTGTATGTCACTACCAACTCAGTTGACCTGTATAACAATCCGTAACAAGTAAATACCCTCGTTGAGGTCAATGTCAAAACGCAAAGGCAAGCCAAGAAATGACACCACAGAGCGGATTACATTAGCCAGGAACAGCAAGCAAAAAAAAGAAAAGAAAGCCGCTGTCAGGTCTGTTCATAATCCCAGCAACCCCATCTATAAACAAACGGTATATACCACTCCTTATATTCTCCGTCCTTGACATGCAACTCTGTACAGACCCTGTTCAAAGCGAGGCAAAACTACACCCTACGTATACTAATTGCTATGAAGTAGTCAACACTTGCCATTGACAGCACTATAGAACTCCATAGTCACCGTCTTCCCCAAACAAAGGTGAAGTGCTTGACGTTTCCTGCCAGTCTGTGACCTATCCACTGTCTAGTGTTTCACCATCCACCGTCTCGGATCCACCGGTTCAACTATTCATTTATCTAAAGGACTAATCCCGTTCAGGTATCTATATTGAGCGTTAAACCTGAATGCCGCTCACCCTAAGAACAGGGGTATCTACCTCGTTGACCGTTGGACCGTTCCTCCCGCCATATCCCGAGCTAAGGGGCAATATACACATCATATCATGCTATATCATATCGATTAAAACGGGGCGTAGGATATTGGGGGGGGGGCAACAAAAGTACATACATACATACATATCTACTTACACCAAGCAATGCATGTCGCGCACGTACTCGTTCCCAGCTGTTTCGTGCGGAAACATTAGACCATGATGCCCTGGACACCTCCAAACCCATGAACCCAGTCCAATCGACCTACACATTTTAAACAGAACCCTTACAGTACGGAACATTTATCAGCGCTAACAACCTTGGTTATCATTTATTTTCCCCGACCCGTGTTAAGGTTTTGCAATTTCCTTTTCTTTGTTGCCAGCCGTCAGGGAAAGCGCCCGAAAACCATTGGAGACAACCTACTAGTCTATCCTAGTTCGATTGCTTGGATAGCCATGCCTTTGGGTTGGTCTGTATCACATGGAGATGAACTGTTCACCCTTTCTGGACAGCACATACATTTTGAGCAACTAAATCACTTGAGCCACCTGGCTGGCACGTTTACTTGGGAACTGAGGTCTAATTGATAACCATTGGCAGAGTAAAGGTATATTCCGTAGATTAGACATGTTTCATGAAAAAAAACCCCCCCCAATAATTTAAGCATACTTACGTGATTACAGCTTCAAATTAACTAACGCACCTATCTATCTAATTCCGACCAAACGATGGCCTCCAGCAACATTATTCGAAACTCCAGAACACTAATTCAGATACTATAGAATGTAATATCGACACGTGGTGGAATACTACACGAGAGACATAGCACAACTCACTAGCCAGCATCACCTGAGAATCTCAAAATAACATACACCATATCAGACAGACTAATTGTTCATTCAAAGGAATAGGGATGTCTGCCACGTTATCCATCCCTCGTTATTCCCGACTATACAAGTATTGTAACAGGCGAACTTCAACTCTACGACTGTGAAAAACACTCAAGAAGCAACAAACAAACAACTGTCGCACCTCTCTCGAACATACGAGAACAGAAAGCAACACACGGGGAATTTTCACTCGCCAGCCCCAGGCAACCCGAATGCTCTACTCCTACTTCCCGCCGAACTTATACCTGCTCGCGGGGATAGACCTGATTTCGAAGAATATGGGCTCTGCGATGCTATGGTGGTTTAGATGAAGTTAAGAGGTAGCAATGGATGTATGATAGGGTACGCCTTTCGTAGATAAATAGTATCGCGAGGCGAGAGATGAATATTTATTATCTGATGGGATAATGAGAAATGAAATACTAGTATAGAGTGAGTATAAATTTGGTTTATTAGTCGTTCTTAGTGATTACTGGAAGCTATGTATCTAGGCGGCTGCAGGGTATCATGATGTTTGCATAGGTTTGCGATATATATTTCTGCTACTATAGGTTAAAGAACCTAGTTGTTTATAAGCTATTCTACGTTTGGCTGATATTTGTGATTGGGTAGTGTCCTTTCCTTTTTTCTTCTTCTTTCGCCTTTTCGTATCATGGATATACAATTCCCCCCAGTTGTTCCGTCAGTGGAGTGTGAGTGTTGACCCTTCACGGATACAGAGTTTACGAAAGAATTATATAGATCAACGTGGCGGAAGCTGTTCCTATGTAGTATCGTCAATCTATGGTCTGCAAGACCTGAGGTATTCGTGATTCTATCACTATTAACATTGAGTCATAAATTATATATGATGAGACATGACCATCATTGGTAAACATAAACCATTCCGGCGCGATCCACGCTAACGACCATTCCATACGGAACCCGGAGTACTGCGACATCCTGGATGAAGTCCAAGTGACTCTTCAGGAGCTGTTGTTGCTGCAGGCTAATCACTGTGCTGCGTGGTAGTCTTCCAGCCGTTCCCTTTTTGTTGTTGTTCTTTCCACCCGAGCTGGTAGTAGCGGCAGTGGCATTAGAGTGAGGAAAGTGTTCGGAGGTCACCAGGAGGGATGGGCCCGGCTGAGACACTTCATAACGCGGCTTTCCGGCTGCTCCGTTTTCCGAAACAACGTCCAGTCCGCTAACGATCGAGGATAGTTCGGGTCGAGCCAAGTCCCAAAAACGAATTTTGCGGTCACACCCACCAGACACAATAAATCCGCAGCGAGTATTGCTATCCCGATTATCTTCAGGGGTGTCAAATCCAACGGCAAAAGCGCATATCCCCGCTGGTGTGCTGGAAGGAGACGGCCCTGAACCTTGCTCGATAGCTCCTGACATAGGTCCCTCTGTTGCGAACCGACTCAACATTCCTTCAGGCCGGTCACTATCAACGTGCCAAGCGTCGTACTCCTTAGAGATTAAGAGTGTCTGTTTTGCTTTGGTGTCGTCGCCGTTAGGTGCTACCCCAGGTGAGTCCGTTTGATACACTTCTCGGCAGCGGACTTTCTCAATATCCCAGACTGTAATCTCGTTGCCGTGGCTTCCGCTGCTCGACACACAGACCCACCGACCCCGTCCCTTAGTAGGGTGCACTTGAAGTCTATGAATGATGCTGGATCCAGGAAGGCCCCATGCCTTCAGCCTCACTCGAAAGCGAAGATCCCAAAGGTCAAGAATGCCATGTGTTGTGCCTATCAAAAGCCAGTTATGCTTCCGGTCGCAACAGAATGTAGTTGGCGTCCCATGGTGAACAGGGTTTTGAAGCGAAAAGACAGGAAGCATAGTTTTCATGTCCAAGGCCAGAATCCGGCATGTGTTCGTCGCAATTAGGAGTGTAGACTGTGCATCTACACGGAAGTGTTCCATCCAGACTGCGTATTCCACGGTCCCATCTTCGGCTGCTGGTAGTTGGTACTCGCGTACGAGTTGGAGTTTGCCGTATCGAATAGTCTCGTTGATGTTATTATAGTCAACCCTTACCGCGTGAATACTCCCATCAGTCGCACCGCTGATGAAAGTGTGTGTATTTTCAACAAAGGCCAATGATTTGATCTTAGCTTCGGTAGAGTGGCGGTAAGTTTGGCGGGACCTGGGCGTCAAATTCTTTTCAAGACGGCTTGTATCCCAGATTTTGACGGTGCCATCATCTGAGGCAGTGACAAAAAACGCGTGATCCGGCGCTACTACGACCCTATTCACCGGCCCACTATGCTCACCAAAGATGACAACTAGGCCACCAGTTGGTTTCCATATCTTGTTTGTCTCGTAACCGCTGGCTTTCTTGATTGCTCGCCTGGTGTCTATCTCCTTGACATAAGGACCAAGGTCAAAGAAGTCCGTAGGGTAGTTTTCCGCAAACACATTATCGAGTAACTTAAGGATGACAGGATTATGTCCTCCGTATGAGTGACTGGCATGATACTGTTGTGGCCCATTCTCGAGAGTTTTCACGTCATGGGCAGCGGACAATGGAGATGGCTGCGGCGTTCCCCGATGTGATGGAACATCGACTTTGCCAAATGCATTTGCAGAGCTCGTACTGGTTTCGGCGTAAGCTTTTGCGGACTCCCTACGATTGAGTAGGCTTATCGCACTGGGCTTCCTTTGTACGCCAGTGGCTAGATTTCTCACCACTGGGTTCTCGGCGTCAGTCGGCGTCGATGAACTTTCGTGCCCGGGGCTCTCTCTTCCCTCGGCAAGTCTTCGTTCGGTGTCTGAGCTAGGAGGTGATAAGGGCCCTGATCCTAGCGCGGCGCTTGGTGACGATGCCACTGGCGACGGGACAGGAGAGTTTTCTGCTGCTCGAAGGGTATCCAAGGTATCCTGCTTTGACGTAGTCAGGACAGGCCCTATGTCTCTCTGCAGTTGACTTCTTGAACGTGCATGCTTTCTACGAGAGCTAGGTCGACTATCAATCGTAGTTGAAGCATCGAGTAGAGCATCGGTGATAGTATGTGGTCTGCGCTCCCCAGCCTTGCCAGGCAGGTCCTTGGCCGATGGAGCTCTGCGTGGCTTCACATTTTGATTCTTGTCAAAGAAAACAGTCTGAGGAGTTACTCCATATTGCGTCAAAGCAATGACGTTGTTCAGGTCAGAGGTCCCATTTTCAGACTCTTTTACCTGACGCGCAGTGACTCTCCATATGTATTCTCTGAGCGCGACCAACTTGAGCTCATCGTCAGAACTCATCCCCATATTTTTTAGCCTAGACAACCACTGCTCATCTTCCTCATTCTTAGAGTACGAGCTTAGAGAGTAACTCGAGCTTCTCTGGCTTCTGGGAATGATACCTTCATTCGCACCAAGACTGAAAGTTCCCTCTAGATTTGCTGTTCTCCAAAATATACCCTTTTCAACCTTGGATGCCCATATAAAGGCTAACTCGTATACATTTCTCGGGATAGGCTTTTTAAGCGCGTCGAGTATATCGCCCTCTGAAAACCCTACAATGTTGACTTTAAGGAAAGGCCGAATAAGCGGTGTAAGAATAGAATACTTATCGGCCACTGATAGGAACTTGGCGGAGTTGGCCACGAATGTCACAGCTGCTTCGCGGATCCACACGTTAGGATGAATCAAGAAACGCACCGTGGTGTGAAGGAGATCCCAGGTGGTCGATCGTTGAACAAGTCCGAGATCGGCCATCGCGGCAAGCGAGCGGAGAACTCTTTCCACAACAAATTCCTCCGTATCAGCCATCGACTGTACCATTAATGGCAAAATGTACTGTTCCAAGCTTGTGCTCCCAACGTAAGCTGCAACACCCACAACAGCCTCAAAAAAGGCACATTTTAGTATCCAATCACGATCATTCAGATACGTATTTAGATGGCTTAAAATAACCTCATTAGTCTTGAGATTGCCGAAAAAGACGCAGAGGCTGGAGACAGATCCAAGGAACGCGCGTCGAACTGACGCATCGCTGTCGGTCAAAAGAGCTTTGGTGTGGGCTTCAAAGTATTCCAGAAGATCGACCCTTGCCACATCGTAAAGATTGTGATAGGTGGCGTCTTCGGTCCACCTGAGTTCAGAGCCCGCTGGTATCAAAGCTGGCAGGCGTGTATCTGTGCGTAGCGCCTGTATCATATCCAAAAACCTGAGGGATGATTGCGCTAGCGATGCTATGCACGATGCATACGCGGCGCGTACCAGCGGGCTTGGGTCTGAATTGGAACTAGAAACAAATGGCTGCAGCCTTGGAAAAATATACTCCGAAAATAGATAAGCATTCACGGGAGACACAACATGGACCATTTCCAGTAGTTGTGCAAGTGAGCGTATGGCAGCAACCCTCACAGAGTCAGAGCGATCATTAAGAAGAATCATAATGTAAGGGAGGATGCGGTCCAATTTTGCCTCATCGGACAATCTCTCAGCAAAGGCAAGAAGGATATCGCAGGCTTTGACTCGGGAAGACGCTTTCGATGTGTTGCGTAAACTAGATACAATGAGTGTTAAAAAAATGAGAACACCATCGTCTGTCTGTGACTGAGATTTGGACCCTTGATGGCCATACTGGGGCAAATCAAGCTGGACAGGGAAAGTATTGCCAGTAAGCCTCAAGGAAGTGCGACTAGAGCCATCCTTCAAATTCTTGGTTGATGCACCGAGGAAATAAGAAATCTTATCGAAGTCAAGGTAGACCCTGTCTATTCTGTCATCGGCCTCTCCTCTGTTGGCAGATTCAGCTTCAACTTGTGTTCTACCCGAGGAGGGGTCTGTCATGAGAGACATATATTGATGGAGGAAACTATAAAAGTACTCCGGGAAGGCTTTGTTTTTCCAAAAGTTCAGGTATTCTTCTGCAGAATATCTTGATTCTGGGTCGATCTGAATCATGTGAAGAATCAATGCTCGAATTTCCGGATCCTCGATCTTGGCCAGCTGGCCATGTTCCGGACTGTATTCACCTTTTCGATATTTGTACATTTGGCTCAAGGTAAATATGGGCGACTCTAAAAACAATTCTGCAATTACACAGCCGGCACTGAAAATATCCATGGCCCAGTTAACTTGCTCAGATTCTCGTTTCTCACCAGCTTCTAGAAATCTTTCAGGTGCCAAGTAGCAGGTTCGTCGCCCTGAGGTGTCGAAGTAGAAGTGAAAGTCTGCAGGATTGTCTTCCGGAAGGAATGTTAATTTGAAAGATGACGAGAAATCTGACAAATAGAGCCAATTCCATGATGTGACCAAGACATTCTCCGTTTTGATGTCACCATGGAAGACATCGAGCGCATGGCAATCTCGCAATGCGCACAAAAGCTGGAATGCAATCCATTTCTTCTCAATATCCTCTGGGAAAGGCCGCGTACTACGCCGGTTAGAGAAAGTCCATGGGCTGGAGGTTCAGCACATACCTCATCCGGTCATAAAGCGAGCTGTGGATGTATTGACGGACTAAGTAACCGCCAGTACTAGTTTCAAGGATTCGTTGATAACCTAAGGCATTGGGAACATCCGAAAGCAGCTTGCGCTCCCCTACCCTGATAAGTTAGAGCGCCTTGGGCGCATGTTGGCACACGGCATATAAATAAAAACGTACGAATTATAGCTTTGACATATGGCTCTAGCTCCATGCTAGGAAAAGGCTTCATTATTACCTTAACAAAAACGAGGCCATTTTGCTGCCTTGCCCGGATGCTCTTCATAAATCTCCCACCACCCATCGACTTCTCATATGTTAAGTCGGACAGCTCGGGGATATCAATCCCGGCCGAACCCGCTGAAAGGGTTGTAAGTGAATAACCTTGGCCCATGTTGAGGTTCCTTCATCTCAGGGGCCTTTGAAAACAATGTAGCTCATCAACGCAAAGATAAGGGAAGCGTCTGTGTAATATACAGAGCAAATCTACGATTCCGCTTTGACAGAAAAACGAGTAGTTGGTAGTCATACCTTGCAAAGGTGAAGTTGACGCGTTGAAAGGTGTCGTCGTTGGGTGATGTACATGTCACATGATACGGGCGGTGTAATGTGCTCCGTAAACTGTACGTATTCCGTATTGACACGAGGGACTCTACGCGGTCCTGATGATAATCTTTATGGAGCAAGAAGCGCGTTTAGGCAAAAATAAAGATGAAAATAAATTGGATAAAGGGAAGAATGATTTGAGAAGTGCCTTGCAGATACACGGCGTTCGATAAGATGCGTTTACTTATTGCTAAAGGATAAGTAATAAAAAAAAATGTCTCATGAGTTATACCTTTTCACCTGGTAAAGCTCCGTAAAATTGTATGTGAACAGCCGTCAATTTTTCAGGAGATAGGTGAGGTACAGATTGTGTCGATAGACGCAATGGTGTACCGTACAAAGAAGAAAGCTTGTTTAACTATCAGGCTCAAGAATACTACCTTATCCAATCAGACGACATGATTTAGTACAGCTGGTCCCGTCTTACCGATAGCCGTCAAACCATTATGGAGTTATATTACTTCACCGTTTATCCTGCTCTGTAAAACTCCACCTTTCGTGCCCCTCGGTGACCTATGATACCTGCAAGGTGTTTATCCCGAGTTATGTGTGTGTGAAGATTGGGTCAAAGGACTTCTTGGGCTCAGGCTATTTAGTTTACCCCGTAAAGAACTTCGTCGTCAATCTACGCCAAGGCCATCGTCCACTTTATCGAAGGTACGGTACAGAATCGGTCAAGAAGCGCCACGTCCAGTCACGACCACGACTATGTTTCCAGTGATGAATTTGCTAATCATTACCAGGGTTCTCGATCGTAAAGCCGACACTACGGCTGACCGACCTTGCCATCGATCTGAGGGCGACTTCTGGATAGCCGATGACCACTATGCCTTCAATTAATCAGGATTGTTCTACGTCGTCAATAGGGCCCCAAGGAAATGATCATCCCGACGTTCCGATTATTGACGATGACGAACCGTTAGTTGACGTAGTCCGAAAGCTATATAAGTATTTTTCGCTCTCACTATATTGTTGGAAAATGGCCCTGACATGCTCTTGTCTAGTTATTTGACGTTGACTATATCTGATGTCTCATATACATTTGAACAGATCGGGTCTACTTCTCACGGCTATAGTCTCAGGTTGCTAATCCATTCTTTAGTGGAAAGCTCACATAACACATATATAATTCCTGCATTAATGTAAGCTTAGTTTGATATATTTACGCCTTTTCCTTAGCAGAGGAGTTTGAACTGACTTGTCTTAGGATCCTGAAGTGGCAATTTGATAATGCTGCTGACTATGATTGGGGCGTAAGTGAAAGTCGAGGATACGCTTGTGAATATGTCGCCTGGCAGATTGTCTGTCATCTTAATCAGCGGGAAACTCTTGAATACCTGCTTGAGGAACTCACATGGCCCACACAGAAGGCTATCAACCTTCCTCAAGCGGAAATGGGTGCTTCCGGGTATTCCTCTGCCGCTACTACTAATCACAGGACATTAGAAGAGGATGAGAGAGCACCCTTGTTGCTGAGCTCGTCCTCATCTTTGTATCGTTTCTTTGGCGGCACGAGGCGTCTAGGTAGCTCACTTGAGGATGATAATCGAGGATCCCACGATTTTACACATGATGCGTATGAACTGGAGAAGTTCTCCCTGTTTTTTGGGCTGAATGCTCTAGAGATTGCAACTATTGCCCACGCAAAGAAATTTCTCAGCCAAAAAGTGGTACAGAGAGTCATTGACTATATCTGGAAGGGAGAAATTGTTTTCTGGGATACCTTGAGTGTGCACTCGACAAAGAGGCCACACTTCTTCAATAAAAGGTAATATGACCACTGCTTCCCAAGCTCCTACCGATTGCTGAAGTGCAGTTGTGTTACAGGACAGCGGATCCTTATTCTCGGTTACGGGTTCCAGTATATCGCAAAGCGTTTGAAGCGGCTTTCTTTGTCTCTTTCTTATTCCTATACTATGCGGTCCTAGTTGAACGAAAGTCGACGGGTATAGGAATCTTTGAAACGCTGATGTATTTCTGGATCGCTGCCTTCGCTTATGATGAAGTAAGCGGAATGGCAGATGCGGGGATGCTTTTCTATCAGATGGACTTCTGGAAGCTATGGAATATGGGAATCATAGGCACCGGGCTTGCCTTTGTCATTTCAAGTGAGTCATTATCTCCTGTGAATCTGCCTTACCATTAGTTCAGCTCTTTCAGCTGGACTAGGATCCTGTGCCATCGGGGTGAGCGAACCCTAGCTTTGCCCCGTTCTATGTGCTGAAGCAGAAAATTGTCTAGGGATCATTGGGTTGGCCGAAGATAGCGAGTACATTACAGACTTGTCATTTGATATACTTTCATTAGAGGCATTATTCCTAGTTCCAAGGCAAGTTTCACCTGCTGTTACTAAGTTTCAAGTCCATGTTTACGATCTGACGGTGGCAAACAGGATATGCTCACTTGTCAGCCTCAATTCCTATTTTGGGAGTCTTGTACGTCGGGCCCGCCGACCCTGCATTAAATAAACGCATACCATTGAATGGGCTGACAAGTATCGTGCATAGATACCTGTTTTGAAGGAGATGGTACTACGCCCGGGGCTAGTGTGATGACGAAGAAGCTGATAAGACTGATCGCTTGGGTCTAGACAAAGTCGTTTTTCCGGTTTATGCCCGTTGTAGTTGTCCTATACATTGGTATGTGGCGCTGAGGCACGCTAGAGGAAGGTACTCGTAGTCTCATATGATGACATTGTGGCGCTGCAGGGTTCTTGACGACGTTCACCATGCTTGCCCGTGACCGACTTTCTCTCAGGCAAATGTCCTGGATTTTGGTGAAAGTTTTCTTTGGGTATTGCGGTGAGACCCCTGTTGTTGAACTGCTCCTACTAACAACGCGAGGCAGATCGAACGTCTTAGGCTTTGTGCGTTGTATTCCGTTGGCGTAGAAGTGTTCTTCATACTAATGGTGGCTGAAATGATTGGATATTAGGACATCGCTCACGAAGTAAGTACAATGCGCTAAGCAGCTGTCATGCAGCCCAAATCAAAATTGCAAGGGGGTTTGAAAAATCGGTTGGCCATGGCGTTAAGTTGACTGATGCGCTAATTCTTAGATTTCCCCGATCTTCGGCTACGGTTTGATGTGAGTTTCCCCTTCAGTACGAAATATACTGCGCCACATGTACCTTTCGTGACCTTGGCCGCATACTCTTTCGATCACGTTCGACATTTGGAGAGACTTTCGAGATAGTATGGCGCTATCTAATTCAGTGCCGCCATCTTTCCACTATCTATCTCTCCCATGTTCCATTAATTTCCCTTTTCTTTTCTTCTTTTTTTCTTTTTTTCAGCCTTGCGTATTATTGTACCTGCCGCTTTGGGCCGTACGCCGATAACCCCACGATACTTGGCATGAAAAGTCTGGTTACATCAGAAGAAGAACATGCAAGCTGATATGTGCAATTCACAGGCTAATTTTTGTCTCGATGACGAACCTTTTACTGATCTCTTCTTTGGTCAGTCTCATGAGCATGAGTCTGGAAGGGGTATGTTCAACCCACGATCTAGTGTGGGGCATCCCAACCTGATTCGCCCAAGAATGCTAATTTGTCTACCCGACATTCTATCTAATGTAGGTTATGGCTCACGCTCGCGAAGAATATCTTTTTCAGTTAGTTTTACTGGTCTCTATTTTCTCGCTATTGAGCTCCGCTGATGTGGAGGACCAGATTATCTATTTACGTGTTGGAAAGCAGTAATTCCCGAAGACTAACCTATTTCATGCCACCATTGGTTAGTAACTGCAAGGGTGTTATGGTTCATCCATGCCGCTAACCACGGAACCTTGATACACAGAACCTCATCCCTCTGCTTTGTATCCGCCCGTTGAGGCTCTTTCTGCCTGCGGAGCATATCCGCCGGGTGCGCATCGTTTTGCTCAGAGCAACACACCTTCCCTTTGTTGCACTCATCTGGGCCTATGAATCTAGTCGCCGCTATGTCTCGCGGCGAAATACTAGTAGTCAATGGCCCCCGACAGCCACAGCACGGGGAAGCGGTCGCCCCGTGTCATCAATTCAGACGGGCTTAGCTTTCTCCACAGCTGATGCTCGTTCTTTAAGTTCCGGTAGGGCCAGAAAACAACCTAACCCAGAGCAGTATATTGGGGTGCGTGGACGAAACGCGGGCCCGGCCGAAAGTGTTGACCTCGCAGATATGATCGACGAGGTGGAACGGTTGCGCACTCAAGTGGAGCGAGTGGCAGCCACAGTCACCCTTCACCACCGAGTTCAATAATGAACGTTAGGGGAGAAAGACTGGGGCTAAATGTGGACTACATACAAGGCAAGACGACGGACCACTGCCATATACACACGCACTGCTGCTCGCCTAAAAGGTTAGCGCGAAGACCGGTCACTTTACTAGTTCCAAATCGGGAATAATTCAGAGTAGATTGTTATTGAGCAATCATCTATGTTATGTGTTTTCAATTTTTATTTTCTTATTTCATATTTTTATCTTCCAAATTTCTATTTTATTTTGATCATTGGCTAGTATTTCATCCAGTTTTTAATGATTTTGGAGGGGGGGCGTATGGAATAATTGGCAACCTACTTTTTCTAATGATGTATTATTAGGATGGATGGTATTGATTTTGTCTCAGCTCGTATGATCTTCAACAACGTCCATATTATTTGCATGACCGGATGAAACTTATAACAGGAAAAGGTTAGTGGCATCTAACATGGACCTCCCTACTCACGGATCAAAAGGGTTTCATGCTGATCGTCAACAGAAAATGACAAATTTCAGAGAAAAGTAAACAAAAACATGAATGATCTCTTTTTTCTATAAAAAAAAAAAAAAAAAAAAAAAAAAAAAAATGCACCAAACAGAACAGGACGATAGCCGAGGACACCTACATAGAAGAACAACTGATTCATGATGAAAACCAGGACGAGCCTGCAGAGATATGATGATTTGCTGGCCCCATCAAGGGTCGGGTGGACGGAGAGCCCCTCTTGCCTAAACAGGAGGCTCCATCATTCTCACCATTTCCTTTCCATCCTCCATAACAGACTGCGTTAGTCTCCTACCCCTCTCTCCCCTTTTTCCTCGGATTATGCGGCTGTGTTTACCAATCAGACTGGGAGACACGCACTGCTATTTTGCCAAGCAAGGTTACCAGACTGTCGGGTCGTCACTAAACCTCTTTGATGAAAGAGCAATGGGTGAAGTGTGCGCTGGTGTTTGACTGGCCAGCGGTGATCAGAGAGTGTTCAGCGGTCCCATACGTGCCATACGTTCCATTAGTACTCATACATACATGCTACTGTGGTAGTGGTGGTGCCTTCGTTTCTCAGCGCTGGTTGTCATGAACTGATGCGGTCTTTTTCTTGCTTTCGATCTAAACGAACAGAACCCACTCACTCACAAACATCCCCATCGAGACGAGCCTTCTCTCGTTGCTATCCTACATGACACGACACTACTCTACACCCCTGTCTCCCACTCCCCGCTAGCTACTTTTTTTTTTTTTTTTTTTCTCCTCTATTTCCCTTCCAATTTTGCCTGGAGCCTACTCGGGCAAACCCACTAACCCTGGCCACAATGGCGGCTCCTCCAATTGTTAATCAAAAACAATGCCTAACACTGTCTTGCCCAACCCTACGGCAATGACTGATACTTTGGCCTGATCACACTTTTTCGGCGCTAAGGAATTGTGCATGACTTGGGATTATCGCGCCTATCTCAATGTTGCAGACATGGGCTGCAGACAACCCGGTCCGGCCCTTTCCCACAGCTAGACTTCCCACACCCCTACACCCTTCTTCCCTTCTTCTGTGGCTCTTATTCACCGCATCCATGCACATCCAGTCCGTCGAATCTGCCTTGGCTGACCAGGCGTCAAGGTCACTGCTTGACGGCCCTTCATCGTGTCATTGCGGCGGACACTCCCCTCCAATTATCATATGGCTCAGTTGATCGAGATCGCCATCAGCCACAGTCTATGCCTGTTCCTGACCTCACCTATCAGTAGAAATGCTACTGAGTCACCAATACTTATATAGATGAATTTTATCCCCCTCCCTTCTTTCGTGTTTCGAATCAAATATAGAGCCTTCGAACCCGCGAGCTACCCACTTGTTAGGTAGAAGTCTAACGAGCGTGAGGATAGCACAATTGTGTTTTGGCGCTACTACCTCCAACATTCGCTTCATTCTTCCCTGTATTACTCTACTCTCTTTGTTGTTGTTCTTCTTGATTAAACACAGTTGTGGATCTTGAGAATGGAGCAGGCTCCTACATCGTTTTCTTCGCCCTCGCCCTTCGTTCGATCGCCACCGGAAAATCACATAATGCTGGAAGATACTTCTGCTTATTCATCGCCTATGTGCTCTGTTTCGAGCTATCCAAGAAACTCGCAGTCGACTACTGGCTTGGGAATCTCCCATTGTGAGATGGAAGACCCATCCAGTCAGCTAAGGCTGTTTCCACCCGACACATACCCATCGCCGGTAACCGAATGGCCGAATCAGATGATCCCTCCCGAATCCCTTCTCGAGACGACGCTGGACGTCGGTCATTTCTCTCCAGGACCATGCTACGAGCCATTTGGTGCTCACTCTGATGTTTCTGTCTCGCCCCTTACCTATTACAGCCCGCAAACTCTGAACGCCCCATCTAGCTATGGCTCTGCTATGGATTTCGCCAGAAATTCTGGCACTTTGAGTGCCCCCTCCTCTCACTTTTGGCCGAATACCCCCCAATCCGACGCTGCTAGCTCCGAGATCCAGTCACAAGTTAAGGAAGAACCTGACGACAGTTGGGAGCAAAACCTTTTGACAGAGGTCAGTGATACTACGGTAATTGGCTCGGTTTCACAAATGCCTCACACAGTGAGCAACGATGCTTATTCAAAATCTCAACACTTTGCCGATAACGGTAATGATACTTTTGTCGAATTAAACCCAGGTCTGGGTCGTCAGAGGGATGAGGGCCGAAAGCCTACAGCACGAAAAATGCCCGTTGAAGTAGTCTTTCAATTGACGAAAAGCGATAGCGAACTCCCCGATGAGCGGTGCAAGATACTATCTGCAAGTGGTCTTGAATGCACCATCTGCGGTACCCGGTTCACTCGACGTTCTAACTGTCGCGAACATGTGAAGAGACATGACCCAAGCCTCAGAAAGTCGTACCACTGCGAGTTCTGCGAAAAGCCATTCGGAAGAAAGACTGACCTTCGGCGACATGTAGATAGTGTGAGTTGAATCGCGGTTTCCTCATAAATACATAGCTGATAAAAACGCAGATCCATCATGGAATCCGAAAATTTGGTTGTGAGGATTGTGGCAAACGGTTCGGTCGACGGGATACACTCTCGAGGTAAACAAGCAAATCTACCGTAGTGTATATGTGTATACAAGCTAATACGGTTTGATATGATAGACACAAGGCAGACGGTTGCCCCCGAAGACCACGAGGCACGGATGTCTCCAGAAAGGTCGAAGCGTCTCAGCACCTCTCTGGACTCCCTCCCAAAGATCCCCACGGCAGAAACAAACGACAGCAGTCCTTACCGAAAAAATAGCTGTATGTCTGGCACAGTGATCGAGAACAATCAAGATACATGGTGAGCCATTACTGCGTTGATCGCGGATATGGTAGTTACTGTTATACGCATGACTTCTCAGTTCAGTAATGAATGATGTACATTTGTCTGGGACATAATGAATGCTCTTGTGGATGAGGTGGCTATCTGCATTGTTTTATGAAATTCTTTTGCATAAAGTATTTTGGATAATGTTGTTCGAGTTTGGAATTGTCATTACTTTGTCTTTTTCCTTCTTTCCTTTTTTCCTTTTTTTTTTCTTCCCCCCTTTTGTTGTCATTAGAACCAGTACAGCATCTGGAAGCGTTAGAAATGAGTATCATCGCATGGCTGGCTCATGCCTGAACACATGGATATGAACGACCTAATACTCCAAAGCCTTGTTAATTATGAATTTGACTACTTTTTCTTTTTGGATTTTCGGCCCTGTTTCACTAACCGGAAAAACTAGGATTCAACGGGATACTCACGTCGGCTAAGCTGTTCTGTGCACGAGCCGACGGCTCTGGAACCATATAGACGCCAACGACAACACTAGGCAGGTCTCCGGGGCCACAAAGTCGCGAAACTCAAATAGCGTTACTGGTCACCTTCTCTGAAAGCTCATTTGTCGAGTTCATGCGATGGTCAAGCTAATGAGACCTAGTATCTTACCACGGAAGCTTCCCCGTACGCGACCCGGGCGATCACTAAAGGATTCACCAAACTGCTCAGTGCTCACTACTACCTCGCATGAAATATAAGGCGGCCGAAGAGAGACAATGTACGGAGTACGCCGCGTGGAGTAAAACTCGCAGCTCCGTCCGTGCCGGAGAACCCGAGGAATCTGAATCCGTCATTTTTATATATATGTCGATATATGCTTGTCATGATTACTATTATCACAATAGCAGAGCCTTATGATGAGATCAGGCTTGTGGCGAGTCAATCTGCGCTGCTCTGGCCATTTCTCGCTAAGCGAGTCTGGCCGTTTGAAGCTCGGAGCCGACAATGCGCCTTAAAAGTAGAACAGGTCTCTGGAACGGCTACGGGCGGATTAATTTCTGGAAGAACAGCCCTAAATCTTTAGTTTCAAACAAGCGCGTCTCCAAGCAACGCCGTTAAGTGGCTACGGCTATAGCGTCTAACCTGCCTCGGAAATTTTGGGAGCCAGGGCCAGGTTTCCTATAAGTTCCATTATGCCATTAACTGGGTTGTAAAAAACGTGTGGACTAGATCATTACCTGGATTGGCTATGGACTTCTTAAGATTGAACCAAACATAGTTACTACTTAGCTGAGGTACTAGTCGATAGACATACCTAGGTAACTACTAGTATAACTACAGACTTCTTGAATAGGAAAGAGTAAAAGAAGGCCCGGGGGCCGAGGAAAGAATTTGTCATCCCGTGCTTGGAGGTTGGGGTTCCGGACACTTAGTCATTATGTCCTCAACCTGATAAATCAACCATCTGGCTCAATTTAATCTCGACATTTTGCTTTGTTTGTATTCAGTCCAAAGCTAACATTAAACAAAGAATAACTGAATTTTGCGTGAAGAGACTCTGGAGCAACTCCGATTACTTGATAAGGGCAGGTACCTACTGTATTTCTGTTTCTTTACCTAGTAATAACCTAGTATCATCCTCATAGTGAGTCATCTCGACTCGCAATATAACTCCAGAAACGGGAAGTTTCTGGGATTGTAACCGGGGTCTACTTATTATTCTAGATCAACATGGATTGATCTGGTTAGCATCCTTGTAGGCTATCATGTGAGGTTCTGGCTAGAGGGACATGTGTACATATGTGCATACTCGGCATCTCCAGCCTTATCTCCCCCTTGGGCGATGTACACGCTAGACCAAGCAAGGCACGATATGCCAAGATCGAATCCCATCCATATCCTATGCGTCGTGGTTGGCTTAACAATCCTTGCTCCTATTGCCACCACAGGTCATGTGGAATTATGCTTACAGAGGCTCTACAACAAGGGATACAGTTCAGTGTGCGAATCTGTCTCAGTTCAGCTGGGGCTGCCGAGGGAGTGTACACTAATCCCAGCCAAGGTACTTCTGGAATGCACAGGCAGCCTGGAGACTTTGGGCCATTTTCAAACCAACATAAGCATAACACTAACTATTAAGCACAAGCATATATCAGGGACGGCCAATTTCACACATTAAGAATTTCACATCCTCCCGGCCTTTGCTGGTCTGCTACACCAATAAGTACGCAGGCAGTATCCCTGTACAGCTGAGTGTCAACTGACTGAGAAGTACACTATAGCCAAAGTATGCGAGGGACTCCAAAAGTATATCGTTACGAAATTGACGAGTCGCCGATTCCCAAACTCTAATGTCACGAGTGATAGAACCCAGGCTTCTAAGACATAACTCAGATCGCCATGTTACCAAGAGAGTGCTGTCGATCTTCGGTATCTCCATTGTTTTCATTCTATACATTGCATACCTCTATCAGGACTGGGCCCGATCTGCACTACTTCATCCCTGCTGTATTTCCGTCTTCAGGGACATCGGAGATCTCGTTGCGAATGCTATTGATTGTTGCCGCGATAGAAAGCATGTATGTCCGGATTTTATCACCGGTTCACCCTTTACGCAATTATCTTTCATCCGTTGGCCATGTTAGAGAACTGTAGCTGGTTTATTATCTGATAGGAGTGACAAGGGAAATACCGAGCTCCGTCCATTCGCTGCTGGCTAATAGGAGTCGCGGCTTCACAAGGCTAGCTAGGACTGGCACGACCAACATCTGCCTTGTATATGTTAGCCTTCGTTTGACATGCAGTGCTCAATGGATTTGGATATTGACCGCTAGGGCCGACCAACTCCAGCGGAACTATAAGCCACCCGTATACTAAATTGAGAAGATGGCTGCAGCTGACGTCCCATAATCTTCTATATGCGGGGCACTATCCATGGCATCTCACCACCTCACATATGTACAGAATGATGTGTCATTTCAGCTGCACTACAGTATGTAGCCCAAGTAATGCACCGTTTGGACATATCGAGGGTACCGATGAGTACTATGAGACGCTTACATTGAATTCTATCTTTATGCGTGCTACTATATCTAGTAGCCATCGTAGATCTACGATAGTCGCAGTCTATATCCGGTAAATGGAAGCGCTCATAACGGTAGCCTTGTCTCATATAGGAAGCACGCCCAGCAAGGTTCGAATGTTCTCGACATGTTCTGCATCAAGCTACTTCTTCCGGCCGAGCGATGATTGATATGACCAAAAAAATGGAACATGGAGAATGAGCAGCCAGCCTAAAGTGGGTGACACTATGCTCTGTATGACACGTTTTCTGCAATGAATTACGTGGGGGCTTGCAGGGAACTTCCAAGTAGGTAGTGGTAGGTTCAGATTGCCTGTATAGCCATCGCGATTCGCTACTACTAGGTAGAGAGTCCAATAGCGGGTGTTCCAGATCCTCCACTAATTTTGCTGTGATACACCGCCTCCGAAGGGCGGGGATTATTTCATTCCCCTTTCCCCTCCAGCTCCAGAAGGTCCAGACAATAGTACCCCTCTTTGGATTGTGAGCGTCATACATTAACTGTCACAATGAGCGCAACTACTACAACTACCGAACCCCCTAGAATTACGGCGGAAAATGTTGCTATTCTCTTCCCAGAGGTCGATACTTCTTTGGCTCGCGAAGTCCTCCCCAAAGCCGACGGCAATCCCTCCGCCGCTAGCAGCAGCGAGCTGGCAGGTTACGACGAGGAGCAAGTCCGTCTGATGGATGAAGTATGCATCGTTCTGGATGATGATGACAAGCCTATCGGAAGTGCCAGCAAGAAAATCTGTAAGATCCGCCCTCTGCATGAGTACTCGTCTGGTGCAGTGCAATTTTCCTGCTGGCGTCTTGCCTCCTCCCCTCTTTGCCAATACCGTTTACTAACGGCTCAATTACTTGAAAATAGGCCACCTCATGACCAACATTGACCGGGGCCTTCTCCACCGTGCCTTTTCCGTGTTCCTCTTCGATTCCAACAAGCGCTTGCTCCTCCAACAACGCGCCAGCGAGAAGATCACCTTCCCGGATATGTGGACAAACACCTGCTGCTCTCACCCCCTTGGAATTGCTGGAGAGACCGGTTCTGAGCTGGATGCCGCTATCTCGGGCGTGAAGCGGGCTGCGCAGCGGAAGCTGGAACATGAGCTTGGAATTAAGCCGGAGCAAGTACCCCTGGATAAGTTCGAGTTTTTCACGAGAATACATTACAAGGCTCCTAGCGATGGAAAATGGGGAGAGCATGAGAGTATGTTTCATATCCTTTGACCTTCACTTCATCACCAGCTGTCGTCGAAAACTAACATCATTAAGTCGACTATATTCTCTTCATCCAAGCCGATGTAGAGTTGGATCCTAGCGCGAATGAAGTACGAGACACGAAGTATGTCTCGGCCGACGAATTGAAAACGATGTTTGAGCAGCCGGGGTTGAAATTCACACCCTGGTTCAAACTCATCTGCAATTCGATGTTGTTCGAATGGTGGAGCCACCTCGGCTCTCCAACCTTGGAGAAGTACAAGGGCGAGAAAGGAATCCGGCGTATGTGAGATTCTGCTAAACGGAAAATGGTGATATGTTATCCGTTTGTCTTGCAATGTAGCGGTATCTTTCGGCTGTTTCCGTCTGCTTCCTCGAATTATGATACCATGGCATGGGCTAGTCAAATGCACTATTTATGTATGAACAGGACTTATTTTATGTTTATAGGTACCTATCTTCATTTACTGGGGCTAGTGACAGATCCCTTCTCTCTTGTTACAATTTGGCGTCCTATCTACTCACGACATGGGTCTACGATAGAGCATTGTTTAGAAAGCCTGCTCAAGGCGGGGTTTTCCATTAAGCGAAAAAGCAAATCCAATTCTCTTAATTATTACTTTTTGCATCCGTTGCCAAGAACAGTATACAGCTCCCTAGAATTACGGTCCCCACCACTGTAAATGTCATTTGTGTTTTCCATCCGCTCTGTACCAAAGCCGCTTTACGGCTGTACTTTCGCACGGTGCGCACATAGTTTGCAAACCCGTTAACCAAACAGGCTAAGCTAAGGACCCAGAACATAATACCCAGCGGCAGAGCCATCCGTCGCTCGAGTCCGGTCGGCCCGCCATGAAAATGGAACGAGATGATGATAGCTACTGAAACGACCGCAAGGTACATAGAAAGACGAAGCCAAGACAGAAAGGTTCGTTCGTTAGCGCAGTGATCGCGGGCGTCGGAGGTGACATTTTCGAATAACAGGGCTCCAAGCCAGGGACGGGATAGGAAGATATGATGGTTGTCCTCTAAGTGTCTTTTTCGGGGTCAGTCCTAAGTGTTCTCTTTTTCCC